TGAATAACTTGGAATTTTTGCTGTCAAGTTACTTTCTCTGGATCTTAACTGGTCCCACAGATGATAAAGATGAAATGTTGGATATCCTGAGCTCAGGCCAGACTGGTTTGATATTAATGGGCATTTTTTCCCCTTTATTTCAATTGACAATTTGTTTCTATCGTGCACATGAAATATGTGTATATTGGGCCGGCGTGGTGGCTCATGCCTGTAATCCAAGCACTCTGGAGGCCAAGGCGGGTGGATCACCTGAGATTGGGAGTTCAAGACCAGCCTGACCAACATGGTGAAAGTCCGTCTCAAAAAAAAAAAAAAATGTATATAATGTGGAATGGCTAAATCCAGCTAACTGACATATACATTACTTCATGTAACAGTTACGTATATGCCATTTCAGATACAAATACTGGTTGAATCTGACCACTTCAAGGTTGCAGTGAATGATGCTCACTTGTTGCAGTACAATCATCGGGTTAAAAACCTCAAGGAAATCACTAACCTGGGAATTGCTGGTGACATAGACCTCACCAATGTTTTACATACCATGATATAATCTGAAAGGGGCAGATTAAAAAAAGATGGAATATAAACCTTACCTGTGTAAAAGCTTCATGTTCACTGTAAGTGAAAATTTTTACATTTATTCATCAATATCCTTCTTGTAAGTCATCTACTTAATAAATATTATGCTGAGTTACTTGTCTTATTATGTCATTTAATTGGAGTTTATTCTAGATAATGCATAATGGAAAAAATATGTAGCAATATTAATACTGCATTAGGGCCTCAAGGTTTCCTATATTTGTTAAAATATTTGTCTTAAGGAGAAAATAAATACTACCTCAATATTATCTCTTCCAGAATTTCATAAAAAGGAGATGTTTCAAGGAAATTCTTCTCTCATTTTCTTAAGGAAATATAATAGGTTCAGGAAATGAGAATAGCAGAAAGAAAAAGCTTACCTATAGATGACCTATGACCCATAGACAATTATTGTTAGGAATCTGGTATACTTCTTGACTGCTTTTTAATCCTATTTTCTAAACTATAGTTCACTGCTTTCAAATCAGTAATTTGATACTACTATAGGACCATCTCCCTGGTTTTTATGAATTTTTTTTTTTTTTTTTTGAGATGGAGTCTCGCTCTGTTGTCCAGGCTGTAGTGCAGTGGCACAATCTCAGCTCACTGCAACCTCAGCCTTCCGGGTTCAAGGGATTCTCCTGCCTCAGCCTCCTGAGTAGCTGGGATTATAGGTGTCTGCCACAGTGCCCAGCTATTTTTTGGATTTTAGTAGAGACGGGGCTTCACCATGTTGCCCAGGCTGGTCTTCAACTCCTGACCTTGTGATCCACCAGCCTTGGCCTCCCAAAGTGCTGGGATTACAGGCGTGAGCCACTGCGCCTGGCCTCAAATCTCTTATAGAGAAAAAAGATATCTTACATAGTCAGCTTTCAAAATTTGTTCCCATCATCAACATTCTTACCCATGACTTTCTACCCTTACTACCAGCAAGCCCAAAGATTAATAAAATTCCAAAAGCAGGATGTGGCAAAACCACTTCATCTTATATAAAACCAAAATTTTTTGAAATAGACTCTCACTCTGTTGCCCAGGCTGGAGTACAGTGGCATAGTTGCTACAACCTCCACCTCCCCAGGTTTAAGCAATTCTCTGCTTCAGCTTCCTGAGTAGCTGGGATTACCGCCTGCCACCATGCCTGGCTAATTTTTGTATTTTTAGTAGAGATGGGGTTTCACCATCTTGGCCAGGTTGGTCTTGAACTCCTGACCTCGTGATCCACCCACCTTGGCCTCCCAAAGTGCTGGGATTACAAGCGTGAGCCATCATGCCTGGCCCCAAATATTATTTTATACAATACGATCTTCTGAAATCCATTAAATTGATAATTGTCACAGGTTGGGTTTCCCAGGAAGCAGAGAGATTAGAACTCAAGAAGGAGTGTACCTGCAATCAATACCTGTGGGGATGGGAAAGAATGTGATTGGGTCAAGGGAGAAGTTGAGCAGCAGTAACTGAGCCTACCCTAGGGGAGTTCCGAAGCTGGGATTATTCTTCAGAGCTGCAAGGGGGCCAGGCCTTTTTATATCCCCACTTTGGTAAGTCACTGACTACAGGACACCTGGGAAAGAGAATGTAACCTGAGGTGAAGTGGCTGTCTTCAGCTGAGGCAGCACGGTCCTCAAAAGGGATGACAGCAGAGAGCTGCCTGCTGGCAGCACTTCCTGCAGCTCAAGGAGTAAGTTGTCCATCGCTAAAGAGGGATGTGGGGAGCATATCATAGCATATTTCAAAAAATTCCTTACCCTAACATTCTCATCTTGACTGTTCTCTTATTAAAAGCAAGAGTACAGCTTTGGTAAAAAGTGAGAACTTGGATTACACAAAATTACTTAAATCCTCTGAGCCTTGGTTCCTTTGTCAATAAAGTGCATACAGCTCTTATAGGGTTACTGTAACATTAAGTAAAATATTGTTTGCAAAGGGACTGTCAAATAGTAGGTCTTCAATAAATTTAAATACCCATTCTTGGCTGGGCATGATGGCTCACACCTGTAATCTCAGCACTTTGGGAGGCCGAGGTGGGTGGATCACGAGGTCAGAAGTTCAAGACCAGCCTGGCCAACATGATGAAACCCCATGTCTACTAAAAATAAACAAATTAGCAGGGCACGGTGGCAGGTGCCTGTAATCCCAGCGGAGGCAGAATTGCTTGAACCCGGGTGACAGAGGTTGCAGTGAGCCAAGATTGCACCACTGCTGCACTCCAGCATGGGCGATAGAGTGAGACTGTCTCCAAAAAAAAAAAAAAAAAGAAATTCCCATTCTACTTTGGCAGAAAAGAACTCTTATTTTTTCTGACAATACACTGCATTAAGAACTCTTACTCTATCCAAAGCAGTTTTCATTTTGTCTCTAAACATTTTCCTAATACCTAATAATTCTAGACTCCAATAGCCAAGCACATTATCTAGTAGAGGACACTGATGGTTGCCTACACAACATTCCATTCCCTGTTTCCTAAGAGCCATGGTTTTATTCAGGTTTGAGCCCAGATTCAACAGGGAATTCTGATTCATTTAAGTCAATCCCCTGCTGACTCACTGATCTGCAGATGGGGATGTGGCATTAGTTGGTCTAATCAGGCCAAAGGGAAGGACATATCTTTAACTGCCACTAGCAGCCATCTTATGACCCCAAAAAGACTCAGTTGTAAAGAAGCCAACATCAAGGATAACAGAATGAACTAGGAATAGAAAGTTAGACCTTGATGTCCTCACTGAGCTATTGATTATAAAGTACCTATTGATTATAAAGCATCACCCTGATAACTTGTGAAATAATGTATTTCCTTACTGTTAAGCTAGTTAGAGTCCATTACTTGTTTGGGTAATTCAAACAAGTCATGTAGGAAAAAGAAATATTCATAAGCTAGGGATTTCTATTTATTTATTTATTTATTTATTTATTTATTTATTTATTTAAAGACGGAGTTTCACCATATTGGTCAGGCTGGTCTTGAACTCCAGACCTCAGGTGATCCACCCACCTTGGCCTCCAAAGTGCTTGGATTACAGGCGTGAGCCACCACGCCCAGCCTAAACTAGGGTTTTCTAATGGCCCAGGGCCATGAACAGCTGAAAGCTTTCTTTTTTTTTTTTTTGGAGACGGAGTTTCGCTCTTGTTACCCAGGCTGGAGTGCAATGGCACGATCTTGGCTCACCACAACCTCTTCCTCCTGGGTTCAGGCAATTCTCCTGCCTCAGCTTCCTGAGTAGCTGGGATTACAGGTGCGCGCCACCATGCCCAGCTAATGTTTTGTATTTTTAGTAGAGACGGGGTTTCACCATGTTGACCCGGATGGTCTCAAGCTCTTGACCTCGTGATCCACCCGCCTCGGCCTCCCAAAGTGCTGGGATTATAGGCGCGAGCCACCGTGCACGGCCCCAGCTGAAAGCTTTCTAAACAATTCAGTGATACATTTTATTAAAGACCATATTTACTGACATTGTCTTGTTCTGATCTGTTTTATTTTTGAAAGCAAACATTTTACTGTTGTGTTGCTTATTGCTTTGTGTAAACCGTAAATCTTGAGTTTCTCTGTAGCAGTCTTTCACATGACTGATACATGACTTTTTTTTTTTTTTTGAGGCGGAGTTTCACTCTTGTTACCCAGGCTGGAGTGCAATGGCGCGATCTTGGCTCACCGCAACCTCCGCCTCCTGGGTTCAGGCAATTCTCCTGCCTCAGCCTCCTGAGTAGCTGGGATTACAGGCACACGCCACCATGCCCAGCTACTTTTTTGTATTTTTAGTAGAGACGGGGTTTCACCATGTTGACCAGGATGGTCTCGATCTCTTGACCTCGTGATCCACCCGCCTCGCCTCCCAAAGTGCTGGGATTACAGGCTTGAGCCACCGCGCCCGGCCCGACATGACTTTTTTCAAAAGAAAAAAGCATTTCCTTAATGGCTCTTGGCCATGCCAATGAAAAATGAAAACAAAAAGGATTCAATGGGCACCTCCAATGACTGAACTGTTTGAAACTGCAGCATGTTAAACTGACTTCAGAATCCAGAAAGCTCATCTAAAGAAACTCAGAATACTGTGGAAAATGTAATACTCAAAGCTGTTCAACATCAACAAATTTAGGAGTTCAAACTAAGAATAAAGTATAAAAGGATGCAAATATTTCTGTCACAGGTTAATATTCCAATTAAACTAAAGAATGTTTATAAACTGTAAGTATACTTAGCCTTAAGCTTATTCCTTTTTAAACAAGAGGCAAGCAACAGTACATTTTTTATTCTATGTTGTTAATGTACAAAATATTCCTACTTCCCTTGAGAAAGAGTATATCTAAAATACACTTTGATGAACACAGAATATCAAAGCATCATATGATACTATAGAAGTGAACATAAATATATTTTCTCCAAAATTTCAACAGTCTAAAGAATATATAAGCATTGATAATATGAAGGAAAATGTTTGGATTTATTTTTAAATTCAAAATTCTTCTGGTTGTAGAGGTGAAAAAGTAATCAGGTTACCACCAAAAGAAATGTGTCTGGCATGTTCCTGATGTCTCCTCTCCAGTTGAGCAAATGGGTTGCTGCAGTTTAGACCTGGCTGGAGAACAAATCCAGAGAAGTCAATAAAGCATCCATCAAGAGTTTCACAAATTCTTCAACATTGCTATAGTGAATTAATTAATAATATAAATAAACTGGGTGTGGTGGTGGCACACCTGTAGTCCCAGCTACTCAGGAGCTGAGGCGGGAGGATCACTCGAACCCAGGACTTCAAGACCAGCCTGAGCAACATAGCAAGATCCCATCTCAAAAACAAACAGAAAGAAACATGTAAACATTTTCCCTATGTAACAGTAAAATTATAAACAACATAATGATCATGTTACTTTCCAGCAGATCTTATTTTAAACATATATTATAGTTTTTTAAATTGGAAAGGTATATTCAGAATACATGTCTAAAAATATGAGTAATATGTATATGAACTCAGGTATTCAGGATGAATAAAAATGAGACCATATCTTAAGCCACTTACATAGATTCCATAAATCCTAAACCATTTAATAGGCCTTCTACTATAGTGTGATCCTGCTGGGATCCTTTTCTTTTTACTCTCTCAAGCTCTGCTTCAAGTTCAAATGATCCTACTGGGGCAAGCAATAATTTGGGTCTAAAATGGACATCTAAATACTAATATTTACAGAAGTGAAAAAAAAATCAGACTAAATAAGGTACTAAGATTTATCAGTGAGGTAATATATAAGACAACTGTGATGTACTTTTAATCACATTACTAATATATTAAAACAAAATATGGTAATCTCTAGATTTACTTATAACAATATATATTCTCAGACTCAGACTCAATATATATTCTCAGATTTAGAGTTCAATCTGGGAACAGGGTTAAATCAGTTTTACATAAGTTGGTCTTATGCTAAAAGCACTGATCCTCTCAGTCTCAGTTCATGATTAAAGAAGGCTAAGACCAAGAAAGAATGGGATATGGGTCACAGTAACACACTTCATTCTGCTCCTGAGACACAGGGCAGCCCAGAGCCTGACCACAAAGAAGCCAACTTTGAAAAATAATGAAAGCCAAGATATATAAGGGTCTTTAAGGAATTAGTGGCTTAAGGAAGCTAAGTATTTGCCAGGCTTCAAGTAGTTAACAAAAATTGTAGCTGTCTGATCCTATACTTGCTTTATGAATGAGTTTCTTATATTCTGAGATTAAAGATAAATAAAACCAAGGTGATTTCCTGATCTATTCTAGTAGTTAGTCCCAGAAAATTCCAAGGTGAGGCTATAAACCAGAGGTGTAAACAATAAAAGAATCACTTGATGAGCCAGGCATGGTGGCTCACGCCTGTAATCCCAGCACTTTGGGAGGCCAAGGAGGGCGGATCACCTGAGGTCAGGAGTTCGAGACCAGCCTGACCAACATGGAGAAACGACATCTCTAAAAAGAAAAAAATAAAATAAAATAAATCACTTGATGAAGAAAAATGACAAATCCCTACTCCAGATTATTGAAATAAAAATGTTGTCTGGGCGTGGTGGCTCATGCCTGTAATCTCAGCACTTTGATTATCCCAGGCTTTGTAATCCCAGGCTGAGGCGGATGGATCACCTGAGGTCAGGAGTTTGAGATCAGCCTGGCCAACATGGTGAAACCCCATCTCTTCTAAAAAATACAAAAATTAGCCAGGCACGGTGGCAGGTGCCTATAATTCCAGCTACTCAGGAGGCTGAGGCAGGAGAATCACTTGAACCTGGGAGGCGGAGGTTGCCATGAGCCAAGACCACAACATTACACTTCAGCCTGGGTGATAAGAGTGAAACTCCTTCCCCCTCTTTGGCCACACACACAAAAAAAATGTCTGTGGTAGGGCTGAAACCTATGCTATAAACAGTAGGAAAGATAGCACTATTTAATTCATGCCACAGTGCCATCAAAGCTATGAATCAGACAGTCCTTCCTAATGTGGAATTTGCAGTTAATAAGGAATTAGATTTCAGAAATCATATTTTTGGAATATAATACATTCATATTATACCCTTAATAATAGATGAAATGTACACATTGTATGCCTATGGGCACCTGTACCTACATATAAGATAACATGGGAAAGATAAAAGCTTTTTACAGAAGGCTTCACAAAAGGGCTGTTTAAACTAGAATTAGAGGCAAGAGGTCACCTTAAGTAAAAGCAGGGGAGTATCCACTTAAAATAGCAGAATATAAATAACCAATGATTACTGAAGGTAGGATAGACATTATTTCCCCAGAAGGGCAGAAACTTTGCCTTATATTTTTCTTGAATCACTTAGAAATATATTCAGATACTCAAGTATCCCATCTGTCAGAGCAAGTTTGATAGAAAAACCATATAGAGAAACATATCTTCAGGTTTTAATACTGAAACATACTATCAAGTATATAAACATCAAATTTTTTCTCCATTTTGTGAAAATGAATAGTAAGCAAAACAATGGCAAGATGTTTTAAGCTTTATACACAAATAGAAAAGCAATATTCATTTTATTAGAAAAATTTAAAACATAAAGGGACTTGTCAAATTAAGTTGGAAGACTTACTGAATCAAGAAGGTGGCATTCATCAATGAGACTTTTATTATCAAGTAGTACTGAAAAACAACAACAAAAAAATTAACTTTTTAAAGAATATTCTAACATTCAAGAGTTGTTAGAAATGGACACTGCCTTGAAAAATATGAAAACTCCATATATCAAATGCTAAGACAAAATTATAGACTATTTTATGCTGTAACATTTTAAAAATGTAGTTAAATTTCCTGGTTAAATTCTTATCCTTAACTTTAGTATAAAAGGAGTCTTTGGCCAGGCAAGGTGGCTCATACTTGTAATCCTAGCACTTTGGGAGGCTGAACGTGGGGGGATCACCTGAGGTCAGGAGTTTGAGACCAGCCTGGACAGCATGGGGAAACCTCTGACTCTACTAAAAATACAAAAATTAGTCGGGTGTGGTGGGGGGGGCGCACCTGTAATCCCAGCTACTCGGGAGGCTGAGGCACAAAAATCACCTGAACCCAAGAGGCAGAGATTGCAGTAAGCTGAGATGATGCCACTGCATGTCAGCATGGGTGACAGAGTGAGACTCTGTCTCAAAAAAGGAGTCTTCTGTAAACAAATCTCAGCTTGTAATATTAAAGGTACCCAGGAGATGCTGATGAAGAACAGGTGGAGGACATTAAATGTCTGGCCACGGTTATAACCTTTTGTTTTACCTTAGGCCCTATCTAGACCAGCTATAGAGAAATTGATGAAAATAGATGGTGAAACTGGCACACATTATAACAGAAATATAGGAGTCATTTCCTATTACAGAACCATCACAACAATATTAGGAAGAACTAGGAAAATAGGGAAGAAAAATAGGGTATTTTGAAGAAAGATTTGGGGATATGTGCTGAAAAGAAGGAGAAAAAAATGCTTGAGGGAATTTTTCTAATTCAGGGTCTTCACTAACAATGAAGAACCCAAACAGTTAGGTCTAATGTAAAATGGACCTTATAGGATAATTTATACCTTAATCCAAGTTTATTTCTTTAACAAAGCCTCATTTAAATATATTTTAAAGATCTCACCTGACTGAGAAATTTTCATTTCCTCTTGTTCTAAAATGTTATTCTGTGAAGCTATATGTTTTTCAGGGCTACTCATCAAAACATCCTGTGATGTAACTGAAGAATTCAATGCCATTCCTTTCACAACATCTGAAATTCCTTCTTTTTTGTTAGTATTAATATCATCTGCTACTCTACCAGCAACAAGAGGCAAACTCATTTTCTCACTGGGTAAACAATCCATCTTCAAGTTTGTCTTATTTACATCCTGGAAGTAAAAATGGCATTATATTTAATTATCAATGTAATTACTTGGAACAAATTTTAAAAGTCTTGTTGCCATTAGGCATAAGAAAAACAGAAGGATGACGTCCTGGACACAGGCTTAAGAACACTGTAAACCCTACTGTCCTGCTTCTTGAACGACTGGTTCAGATAATATTAAAGAAACAGTATGAATGAAGTCAAGTATCTCAGCAAGTATCATACTCTAGCTCAGAGACTGGCAAACATTTTCTGTAAAGGACCAAACAGTAAATAGGTTTGTGAGCCACAGGGTCTCTGTCATAAGTACTCAACTTTACCACTGTACTGCAAAAGCAGCCAGATAGAATACATAAACAAATGTGTGGCTGTTACAGTAAAATATGACTTGTAAAAATAGGGGTCAAAGTATACTGATTTCTGCTCTAGTTCACTGGTTTCATATTCATCCTGATATGAGTTGAAGAATACAAAATGACACTATGGTTTTAAACAACTCAAATGTCATTGAAACAAGAACCACCATTCTATACGACTGATTTAGATTTCCAATGCAAATTCTGGGGTTGTTTATGAAATTACTTTATATAATATATGAACATATGACATACTAGGCTATCTAACCACATTGGAATTGTACTTACATGGTTTTCTTCAATTAAATCTGGTAATCCAGGACACTGAGCATCTTCTACTATGCTGTTCCTAAAGAAGAAAAAACGTAGCATTACACTCATAATTAAACATATTGTTATTGTTTCACTTATGTTTTGAGTCTATCCTTTATGGCAGCAATTAGTTTAGGGAATGGATCAAACATGGAGCCTGGTGCAAGATCGGGCCTAATCCAGACAGATCGGTTGTGGAGTACAGCTACTGCAGAATATCCTTACAAACTAAATGCATTCTTCCCCAGAAAGCTCCAAGTCTGTTACCATGGTAGTCAGTCAGGCTCGGTGGGTCCACCAGCAATACTCTGAATCTCAGCCAACCCAGAGCTATATGTGAGAGAAAAGTCAAAAGGAAGGTGACTTCTGGAGACAGAAGCAACAACTCAACTATTTTCTAGCTGAAGTTAGCTATATTTATTTGTTACTTGTTAATCCCTGAGCTGGAATACAGGTACCTGCTGAAAAATTTGCCTTCAATCATACTATTTCTATAATATTATCTGAACTAATTGTTTAAAAAGCAGGACAGGAGGAGTTCTTAAGCCTGTTGCTTGATAAGTAAATGTAGCTAACTCCAGCTAGACAATCACTGAGTTAGAATACAAAGTAATCTAATCCTGAGGTTCTTAATTTGTATCTTATTACAAATATCTGTCTTGGCCAGGCCCAGTGGCTCACACCTGTAATCCTAGCACTTGGGAGGCCAAGGCGGGCAGATCAGGAAGTAAGGGAGATTGAAACCATCCTGGCTAACATGGTGAAACCCTGTCTCTACTAAAAAAAAAAAAAAAAAAAAAAAATAGCTGGGTGTGGTGGCCTGCGCCTATAATCCCAAGGTACTTGGGAGGCTGAGGCAGGAGAATCACTTGAACCCAGGAGGCGGAGGCTGCAATGAGCTGAGATCCCACCATTGCACTCCAGCCTGGGTGACAGAGTGAGACTCCATCTTAAAAAAAAAGAAAGAAATTGGCCGGGCGCGGTGGCTCAAGCCTGTAATCCCAGCACTTTGGGAGGCCGAGGCGGGCGGATCACAAGGTCAAGATATCGAGACCATCCTGGTCAAAATAGTGAAACCCCATCTCTACTAAAAATTAGCTGGGCATGGTGGCGCATGCCTGTAATCCCAGCTACTCAGGAGGCTGAGGCAGGAGAATTGCCTGAACCCAGGGGGCGGAGGTTGCGGTGAGCCGAGATCGCGCCATTGCACTCCAGCCTGGGTAACAAGAGCGAAACTCCGTCACACACACACACACACACACACACACACACACACACACACACACACACAAAATTTAAAAAGTACTTATGACTCAAATCCAATTACGAATCTTCTCAGCAAACAATAGTAGACTATAAGATACACAAAGTAAAGTAACTAGGATGTAAGAAATGACAATAAATTAGTATTTTATAATCCATGAATTTCTAGAACACCTAAAATATTTTAGTCTCCATAAAGGCTAAATATACTTAAAATCAGCAATCTTATTTTACTTCATTTTTGAGATGAAGTCTCACTCTGTCATTCAGGATGGAGTGCAGTTGCACAATCTCAGCTCTGCAACCTCTGCCTCCTGGGTTCAAGTGATTCTCCTGCCTCAGCCTCCCGAGCAGCTGGGATTACAGGCACCCCTGCACACGACTAGCTAATTTTTTTTTTTTTTTTTTTTTTTGAGATGGAGTTTCGCTCTTGTTACCCAGGCTGGAGTGCAATGGCACGATCTCGGCTCACCGCAACTTCCGCCTCCTGGGTTCAGGCAATTCTCCTGCCTCAGCCTCCCGAGTAGCTGGGATTACAGGTAGGCGCCACCATGCCCAGCTATTTTTTTGTATTTTTAGTAGAGACAGGATTTCACCATGTTGACCAGGTTGGTCTCGATCTCTTGACCTCGTGATCCACCCGCCTCGGCCTCCCAAAGTGCTGGGATTACAGGCTTGAGCCACCGCGCCCGGCCATTAATTTTTTTATTTTTTAGTAGAGATGAGGTGTTTCACCATGTTGGCCAGGCTGGTCTCAAACTCCTGACCTCAAGTGATCTGCCCTCCTCGACCTCCCAAGGTGCTGGGATTACAGCTGTGAGCATTGCGCCTAGCCAAAAATAAGAAATTTAAAACTCATTGCGGCCGGGCACGGTGGCTCAAGCCTGTAATCCCAGCACTTTGGGAGGCCGAGGCGGGTGGATCACGAGGTCGAGAGATCGAGACCATCCTGGTCAACATGGTGAAACCCCGTCTCTACTAAAAATACAAAAAATTAGCTGGGCATGGTGGCACGTGCCTGTAATCCCAGCTACTCAGGAGGCTGAGGCAGGAGAATTGCCTGAACCCAGGAGTCGGAGGTTGCGGTGAGCCGAGATGGCGCCATTGCACTCCAGCCTGGGTAACAAGAGCGAAACTCCGTCTCAAAACAAAAACAAAAACAAAAACAAACAAACAAAAAAACCTCATTGCATGAAATATTTGAGTGTTTAAGAACAAAAACTTTCATTTGCCTTGCCTTTCTTCCTTTTTTCCCTCCCTCCTTCCTCGATTTATTTATATAACTTCATTTGCTGCAATGCCTGAATAGTCTATGCTGTCTCATCTTCAGATCGGCAATAAGCCCAACAGTCTTCTCTTGGCACAATACTGTCATTTTATTTTCTACTTGAAGTATCTTTTCCCCATCAGACTTGGTATGCATTTATGTTCAACTAACAAGGACTGTTTGGGTAACTTTGATGCATTTGTGCAGAGCAGAGGCAGTATTGTACAGCAAAGAATGCAGGCAGCATATGGTTGCCCTGAGTACAAGCTGAATTTAAGTAAGTTACTAACTTTTCAGGTGGTCTCACTTGAAAAACGAGTATCTAGTACCTCATAGGATTGTTTTGAGAATAAATGAGATGACACTGGTAAGAACATAGAATGGGCTGGGCGTGGTGGCTCACGCCTATAATCCCAGTACTTTGGGAGGCTGATGTGGGTGAATCACCTGAAGTCAGGAATTTGACATCAGCCTGGCCAACATGGTGAAATCCTGTTACCTACTAAAAATAGAAAAATTAGTGGGGAATGGTGGCACACGCCTGTAGTCTCAGCTACTCAGGATGCTGAGGCAGAAGAATGGCTTGAACCTGGGAGGCAGAGACTGCAGTGAGCTGAGATTATGCCACTGCACTCCAGCCTGGGCAGCAGAGTGAGACTCCACCTCCAAAAACCAAAAACCAAACCAAAACAAAAAAAACCCTAAAAACAAACAATAAAACCTAGCCCATAATAGTTGTTCAGTACACATTAAGTGCCCCTTCAATACGCTCTGCCATCTGTCAAGACAACAATCTCAAGGTATTTTCTACAAAGCCTGGTAAAAAGTGTCTATCTCTCAACCACCTTGCGGAGGCATTAGCACTGCTGCTTTGCAGATGATGAAAGTGAAGCTAAAGAGAGTTAATTACTTGCCCTAAAGTTGCATAGCTAGTAAGGCACAGAGCTCTTCTCAGCTCAGAACTATTGAGCACCAAACCTGCAGTATGTTTAGCACCGAAGGATACCATGTTGCGTCTTTACTTCTTGGTGCAGAATTTACTTTGCCCATCTAAACATGACCATTTAGTATACTGAAATCTTAAGCTTTAGTTTCCTCTTTTCCAAAAAGGGAGTATTGACTATACGTTGCAGGGTCACTATGAAATTTAATTAAAAATGTATGTCTGGCACCTTTTATCAGCTTAACAATCTGAAACAATATTTAGTATCAGCAACTGTTAAACTCTTAATAACATGTTTAAAAAAATACCTGCTTTCAGGAATATTCAAAAATAAAGTCTTCTTCACATGTTCACTTTTAGTATTCTGAGAATCGGCATTCTCTGATGATGTAGTTTTTTGTGGAAGGCCCACCTCATTTCTACTCTGAGATACAGCTTTGCTGACAGACTTAGGTGCTCTAAGTCTTTGAGAAGGACATTCAGAAGAGACAGAGGGTCCTAGAAGAGGAGAGAAATCACCTCAATACCAAATAGTTCTTTCGCTTTTCATTATAACTAGGAGTACAGTGCAAATCCTATCAATTAGCCTCTTTCTCCTGTCAAACAATGTCTGTTAAAAAAAATGCCTGGGACTTTCTGATAAAGACAGTATTTAACATCCATATTAGATGCTGTTTCCTTTTGACATCTCACTACTTTAACATGAACAGAGATAATATATTTTCTTTTTTTCTTTTTAGACAGAGTCTCACTCTGTCACCAAGGCTGGAGTGCAGTGGTGTGAACTCAGCTCACTGCAACATCTGCCTCCCAGCTTCGAGCAATTCTCCTGTCTCAGCCTCCCCAGAAGCTGGGACTACAGGTGTGTGCCACCACGCCTGGCTAATTTTTATATTTTTAGTAGAGATGGAGTTTCACCGTATTAGCCAGGCTGGTCTTGAACTCCTGACCTCAGTGATCCACTTGCCTCCAACTCCCAAAGTGCTGGGATTACAGGTGTGAGCCACTGTGCCTGGCCTGAACAAAGATAATCTTTTTTTTTTTTTTTTTTAAGACAGAGTTTCACTCCCAAGCAGCTAGGATTACAGGTCTCACCACCATGCCTGGCTAATTTTTTGTATTTTTAGTAGAGACAGGGATTTCACCATTTTGGCCAGGCTGGTCTTGAACTCCTGACCTCAGCCTACCAAAGTGCTGGGATTACAGGCATGAGCCACAAGCCCAGTCAGAGATCATCTTAAAAAGCAGAACTCTACAAGGACAAAATAAACTAAAGAGACAGCAATAATCACAAGAACATTTTGGAAGCTCTAATGTAGATTGCTGAGTGGGACTTTACTTAGCAGACTAAAGAAAATAAATTCTAAGCCACCAATCAAGAAAAATGAGAATCGACCCAGTTTCTACCAAATAACCCCTCAAAAGAATTAGTGGCTCCAAGTACCTCTGCAAGTGGAGATGAAAATGGAGGTAAACACAGGACTGGCTCAAAGTTAGTTTAAACAAGAAGAGCTCAGATTCCTTTCCTCATTCTGCAGAGCAGAGCAACTGTCACCACCCGTTCCCCATCACCAAAACCAGAAGGGTCTCTGGTTTAGAGGATACGAGACACAGTTGAAAGACGGGGTACTGCATGGAAAATAAGGGAAATAAGTGAGTATTTACATATAAAGTGTTGAGACACTTAGCTTTCTTCCCCCACATAGCTCTTGAAAGGCTGGCAGCCAGAAGTATACCTTCCAGGAAGCAGATGGAAAGCATATTCTCTGGGGAATCTGAGTAGATGATGAGAAAAGTCTTAAATGCAGTGATGTGTAGGCTCCCAACATGATGGCCCAGCTAACAGTAGGGCCCCCACAGTAAAGGTCCTACCAAGGTGTACAGAGTTTTCCAGTCAGCTTTTTAGTACCCTATTCTTTTTTTTTTTTTTTTTTTTTGAGACGGAGTTTCGCTCTTGTTACCCAGGCTGGAGTGCAATGGCGCGATCTCGGCTCACCGCAACCTCCGCCTCCTGGGTTCAGGCAATTCTCCTGCCTCAGCCTCCTGAGTAGCTGGGATTACAGGCACGCACCACCATGCCCAGCTATTTTTTTTTTTTTTTTTGTATTTTTAGTAGAGACGGGGTTTCACCATGTTGACCAAGATGGTCTCGATCTCTTGACCTTGTGATCCACCCGCCTCGGCCTCCCAAAGTGCTGGGATTACAGGCTTGAGCCACCGCGCCCGGCCTAGTACCCTATTCTTAACCATGTACAGGCAGTGAGAGATCACCAGATTCCTGAGGACAGCTTCTCACACAAGAGACACAAACCAAAAACAAACAGATGAAAGTACCCTGAAACAAATACTATAGTGGATGAAAAAAACATAAAAGCTATCGTTAGTATCCTTAGTGATAATGTATTATATTTAATGATATCCATAAATCCATATCATTAATATCATTAAAGATAATACACCTGCCGGGCGCGGTGGCTCAAGCCTGTAATCCCAGCACTTTGGGAGGCTGAGGTGGGTGGATCACGAGGTCAAGAGATCGAGACCATCCTGGTCAACATGGTGAAACCCCGTCTCTACTAAAAATACAAAAAATTAGCTGGGCATGGTGGTGCGTGCCTGTAATCCCAGCTACTCAGGAGGCTGAGGCAGGAGAATTGCCTGAACCCAGGAGGCGGAGGCTGAGGTGAGCCGAGATCGTGCCATTGCACTCCAGCCTGGGTAACGAGCGAAACTCCGTCTCAAAAAAAAAAAAAAAAAGATAATACACCTATGAAACAAGTGCAGAATGCTATAAAAATGAACATCTGTAGATTAAGAAAGGGCTCTTGGGAGTTAGAAACATGATAGCCAGCATGAAAGTTGAGGAAATCTCCAGCAAGTAGAAGAAAACAGTTAGTACAGGAAAGAAAAATTTAAAAGTCTACCAGAAGAAAAATGTGTTTTCGAAAAGATCAAATCTTGTCAATAGAGATGGTAGTAAACAACAGAAGACTCCAGTAAGAATTGAAAAGCAGTTGCTTCTAGAGACTGGCAAATGGAATCAGAAGAGCTTCTTCAGAAACTACTGTTTTGCAATAAGCCTCATATAAACTATGTGCTCTGTAACTAAAACTCAATTTTAAAAGATCAAATTTTGCCATAAACCTTAATCTCCCTATCTATAAGGACTGAGCTGAGTATGTGAAAGAACAGAGAATAATGAGCTCATAGCTATAAAAACCACTAAGATCCTTGACAAGGAGCAGGATAGGGCTGTGTTGTTAGCAGTAGTGGAGATGCCTGGGTATCCAGGGAGTGCAGCTGCTTAAAGCAAACAAAAGTGCACAGATTTGATACCTAAACTGACAAGGAAGTTACAATGTTCATGAGGATCACTGTCAATCTCGGACAGCAGGTATTAGAGAACAATTTAGGTTTTCTTTAACTTCCTGGTGGACATCTATGGCTTATAAATAATGTAAATTGAGATGAATTAAAAACAATCTGTGAAAAATAGCTATTGACAAATACAGTTAGAAAATAATTTTTAAAAATGGTTTCCTGAAGTATTAAAAACTGCTTTTGGCCGGGTGTGGTGGCTCACGCCTGTAATCCCAGCACTTTGGGAGTCCAAGGCAAGTGGATCACCTAAGGTCAGGAGTTTGAGACTAGCCTGGCCAACGTGGAGAAACTCTGTCTCTACTAAAAATACAAAATTAGTGGGCATGGTGGAGCATAACTCTAATCCCAGCTACTCAGGAGGCTGAGGCAGGAGAATTACTTGAACCCGGGAGGTGGAGGTTGCAGTGAGCTGAGATCGTTCCATTGCATCACTCCAGCCTGGGCAACAAGAGTAAAACTCCGTCTTGAAAAAGAAACAAACTGCTTTTACTGGAATATTTTTAAATTGGAAAATTAGTACATTTACTGCCTTTCAAAAAAATCTGAGCAAAACTTTTAATACAAATGCAAATAAAATCAAACCCACCTTGCATAAACTTCCTTTTATTTTTTAGAGATAGAGTCATGCTCTGTCACACAGCCTAGAGTGATGGGGCATAATCATAGCTTGCTGTAACCTTCACTGCTGGGCTCAAGTGATCCTACTGCCCCAGCCTCCCAAGTAGCTGGGACTACAGGCATGTACCGCCAGGCTAAGGTCATTTTTTATTCTTTTGTAGAGGGGGGATCTCACTTAGTTGCCGAGGCTGGTCTCAAACTCTTAGCTTCAAGTGATCCTCCTGCCTTGGCCTCTCGAAGTATTGGGATTACAGGCATGAACCAACACACACTGCACGTAAGCTTCGTTTTAAAGCACAGATAGAGAAATGTGATAGCTAGATGCTCAAGTTTCCTTTGCATTTTAAATTCTAACCAAACTTCTAACTGACCTAAAGAAAATCACCTTACTTCTTCACGCTTCCATCATTTATCTAACCTCTTGGGAGCCTGTGACCTTTCTCATAGACTGTAGGGTTACGTGGTAATACAGATGTGAAATCACTTAGAAAACACAAAAGCTATCTTAGAAGACATATCACACTTCAACTAATCTGATCATACCCATCAAAATGTGATTTACATGTGTTTGTGAGTGAGCAGTCTATTTTCTAAAAATCACAGAAAAACTTGTATCTCTTCATGTAAAAAGTATTTTTCACCTTATACAAGCCCCCATCCATCCCAAATATTTCTCTTAAGTAGTCTCAGCAAAAACAAAACAAAGCAAAACAAAAATAAGCACTAACCTGGGAATGATTTAACAGGACTTTCAACTCTGAAAAATCCAGCATCAAACACTATTTTATCAATTTCCTTTGGTATTACAGAGGCCACTGCCTCTGCATGTTCTTCTTGCTTAATTCTCTCTCTCATTGCTTTTTTTATGGCAGCTAGGCGATTTCTCGCTGCAATTCTTCCAGTATCATCCTGTTTTGGTTTACTCTCTATACCTGAGACAACCTTTTTCTGCAAAGAAAAACTGACATATAATAAAGCTGCCTACTATCATCTTATAAGAAAAACACACAACAGATATATACAAATTCATCACTTAAAAATTTAATTTTTAAAAAGAATAATAAAGTATACATAAAATATTTCACATTCATCATATATTTATCAAGTTCCCAGTATGTGCTAAAAGAGTTGAAAAGGTAAAAGACAAGAGTTCCTGCCCTCAAGGAGTTTGAAGCTTAGTGAAAGAGCTAAGGAAGGACAGTAAGAAGGATCTATGTCCTGTTAAGAGAGAAATTTAGGGGGCATCCTTCAGATTATAACCATGATACCCTAAAAAAAGAGAAAAAAAAGTAAATAAAAAAAGAAAAAAATTAAAACATTAAAAGAAAATAAATAAGGATGACACCTAAACCAATCTTCAGACACCAGCAAAGGTTGCAGGAAGTAGCACCATTTCTTCAAACTAAAAGATGGGGTGAGGGAAGGGGTAAACAGATGTTTCCAAAGCCAGAAATGAAAGAAAGCAACCTGCAGTTGGTGAGAGATAAACAATAGCTAGATTATAACATCACCTGCCTGTAACAGTTTTTAAGAAAGTCACAATTTATACAGAGGATGAAGGAATACAGAGTTATTGGTGATTTTTAAGCAGAAGATTAACATTATCAAGCTGGTGTTTTAGAAAGATCACTCAGACTAAGGAGTAAGACATGGGAAAAGGTGGACAGATTCAAGAGATATTTCAAAGGTAGAAGTGAGAGAACTTACTGATCTACTGGATGTGTGTGGAGCGGAGGTGGTGAAATAGAGAAAGGAAAGAATCAAAAGAGATACCGAAACTTCTATCTTGAACACCTGGTGGGATGGTAATAGCATTATTTGAGACAGGGCAACACTGCTGTGTGTGGAGATGCTGTCAGTTTGGGATATATTGATTTTTAAAATACATTGAGTCATGATATATAGAATTAGAGCTTAGTAAGTATGGTCTGAAATACAGACTTGGGGATCATCATAGGTTGGGTAAGACTGCACAGGAAAATTATGGAAGGAAAGAAGAGAGTAGAGGTAGAAATTCTAAACATCAAAAACATTTAAGGGATAAATGGAAAACAAATATGCAAACATGACTGAAGAATAGGCAAAGAAGTAGAAAGGAAATCAGCAGAATATAATTTCAAAAATAAGAAAGTAAGCCAGGCATGGTGGCTCATGCCTCTAATGCCAGCACTTTGGGAGGCTGAGGCAGGCAGATCACTTGAGACCAGGAGCTCCAGACCAGCCTGGTCAACATGGCACAACACCAGCTCAACAAAAAATACAAAATAAGGCCGGGAGCGGTGGCTAAAGCCTGTAATCCCAGCACTTTGGGAGGCCAAGGCGGGTGGATCACGAGGTCAAGAGATCGAGACCATCCTGGTCAACATGGTGAAACCCTGTCTCTACTAAAAATACAAAAAATTAGCTGGGCATGGTGGCGCGTGCCTGTAATCCCAGCTACTCAGGAGGCTGAGGCAGGAAAATTGCTTGAACCCAGGAGGCGGAGATTGCGGTGAGCCGAGATTGCACCATTGCACTCCAGCCTGGGTAACAAGAGTGAAACTCTGTCTCAAAAAAAAAAACACCACAAAATATTAGCCGGGTGTGGTGGCAGATGCCTGCAGTACCAGCTACTTGGGAGGCTGAGGTGGGAGAATTGCTTGAACCTGGGAGACAGAGGTTGGCGTGAGCCAAGATCATGCCACTCCACTCTAGCCTGGGCAACAGAGCTAGACCCTGTTTCAAAAAATAAATAAAATACCAAAATAAAAATAAAAATACCAAATAAAATTAGTTGGGTGTGGTGGCATGTGCCTGTAACCCCAGCTACTTGGGAGGCTGAGACACAGGAACAGTTTGAACTCGGGAGGCAGAGGTTTCAGTAAGCCGAGATGATGCCACTATACTCCAGCCTGGGTAACACAGCAAAACTCTATCTCCAAAAAAAAAAAAAAGAGGCCAGGTGTGGTGGCTCATGCCTGTAATCCCTGCACTTTGGGAATCAGAGACAGATGGATCATCTGAGGTCAGGAGTTTGAGACCAGTCTGACTAACATGGTGAAACCCCATCTCTACTAAAAATACAAAAAATTAGCCAGGTGTGGCAGTGCGTGCCTGTAATCCCAGTTACTTGGGAGGCAGGAGAATCGCTTGAACCCGGGAGGCAGAGGTTGCAGTGAGCCAAGGTTGTGCAATACTGCAGAAGAATTAGATTTTAAAATTTATTTTTATTTATTTATTTTTTGTAATGAGGTCTCACTTTGTCACCCAGGCTGGAGTACAGTGGCATGATCTTGGCTCACTGCAACCTCTGCCTCCTGGGTTCAAGGGATTCTCCTACCTAGCCTCCTGAGTAGCTGAGATTGCAGGCGCCTACCACCATGCCTGGCTAATTTTTTATTTTTAGCAGAGACAGAGTTTCACCATGGTAGCCAGGATGGTCTCAAGCTCCTGACCTTGTGATCCACCCACCTCGGCCTCCCAAAGTGCTGGGATTACAGGTGTGAGCCACCACACCTGATCTAGAAGGGTTAGATTTTAAAATTAAGTGCGTAATAACTTAACCAACTAGTGGACTAATAATCTAGATAACTATTCTAAAATTATAGAGAGGGGAATAATGAATTGCAATGAGTTAGAAAAATAAAGGAACAAACATAATAGAGTACAGACAACATTTTAGGATCCTTGTCAGTGACTGGGAAGAAAGAAAAATGGGAGTGTACATATAATTAAAGGGAAGCAGACACCACAGCTTTGTTTTTTTTTTTTTTTTTTTTTTTTTTGAGACAGAGTTTCCCTCTTTACCCAGGCTGGAGTGCAATGGCGCGATCTCGGCTCACCGCAACCTCCGCCTCCTGGGTTCAGGCAATTCTCCTGCCTCAGCCTCCTGAGTAGCTGGGATTACAGGCATGCGCCACCATGCCCAGCTAATTTTTTGTATTTTTAGTAGAGACGGGGTTTCACTATGTTGACCAGGATGGTCTCGATCTCTTGACCTTGTGGTGATCCACCCGCCTCGGCCTCCCAAAGTGCTGGGATTACTGGCGTGAGCCACCGCGCCCAGCCAGCTTTGTTTTAATGTAAAGAACAGTAAGATATGGCTAGGCATGGTGGCTCACGCCTGTAATCCAAGCACTTTGGAGGCCAAGGTGGGCGGATCACCTGAGGTCAGGAGTTCAAGACCTGCCTGACCAACACGGTGAAACCTTGTCTTTAAAAAAAAAAAAAAAACAAGAAGAATAAGACACTTAACATGTTTACGGACTGATAGAAGAAGAAAGCGGGTAAGAAACAAAAGAGACTGATGGAATGAGGGATTAATAAATAAGAGGTAGTAGGGAGTGGTATTCAAGTATAGTATAAAAAATTAGCTTTATTTGTTGATAATCTTTAACAGTAGCCTATAAAATAAAGTAGAAGGAGAGAGACACCTGCTGATAACAGGCAGAATTACAAATCTCTATAAGACAGCCATGATCTGCATCACTGATATTAGTATTTCCAGTACTAAATCCTTAATATGAAATATCCACAGTAGCTTTAATAATGAAGTAGAATCCTTCACTATTTAGTAGTTTTGAAATCCATTCAATTAATTTAATCACCATCCTCAGGATCCTTGTTGTGAGACTTTATTAATAAAAAGATTTATTTTGAGACGGAGTTTCGCTCTTATTGCCCAGGCTGGAGTGCAATGGCACGATTTTGGCTCACTGCAACCTCTGCCTCCTGGGCTCAAGTGATTCTCCTGCCTCAGCCTCCCAAACATCTGGGATTACAAGGATGTGCCACCACTAATTAGTGCCCAGCTAATTTTGTATTTTTAGTAGAGACAGGGTTTCTCCATATTGGTCAGGCTGGTCTTGAACTCCCGACCTCAGGTGATCCACCTGCCCCAGCCTCTCAAAGTACGGGGATTACAGGTGTGAGTCACTGTGCCTAGCCTAGTAAAATATTTTTGAATAAGGTTTTTAAAAAAATACTTTAACAAGTTAAACTCCTAAGATAGAATTCAAGACAGTTTTTATTTGGATTACACAGTATAATGAAATACTTATCTAGACAACCTGAGTTTATAACTACATGCGTTTTTCTCAAATCATAAAACTGACAATGCTCAGTTTGAAAAGTGTGCACCCAAGCCAAAAACTTTGAATTCAAAAACACTAGTAGAAAAATAATTACTAGAAACAGATAAGAATAAAATTTATCATGTTAACAAAGCAACAAGGTTAACATCATCCATTTCATGACTGTTTTAAGGATTCACTAATATATGTAAAGTATTTGGAATAATATTTGGCACATACTAAGCATTATACAAATGATCTACTACTATTACTATATCAAAATGTGTAAGAACAGTTTAAAGAATGAGATCAACACTCATGTATCCACTATCTGATAACTTAGAAGCCCTCGTTACCCCAATTCAATCACAGCCTCTCCTTTCTTCTCTCTAGACATAACTATACTAAATTTTATGTTGATCAAATTCCTTGCTTTCTTCAAAAGTAGTCAGCTTTGCAAAATAATGAGAAATCTAAAGCTAAATGTTTTTAAAACTTAAAAGCAAGAAATCATTAGAAGAATCTGTATTAGAAATTTGGATGTATGTAGAATGGTCCCTTAACTAGAAAAAAAAAATTCAGATATAAAACCCACAAACTTACCCTAAAGACACTTTTGTTTGTATTATTATTCACAATATTATTGACTTGCCACCCAGATTCCTCAAGTTTGGTCAGACTTGTTGAATTTGTGGATTACATCTTCTATCTGTTAATAAAGCACAAGTTTATCAGACTAATGTTAACGATATTAAATTTTTAAACTAACGAGCTGAAGATTAAAAAAAATTGGGAATGGTGACTCAGAAATGAGTTATTAAAAATGAATTAAGTCATTCTCAATTTAGTGTTTCAATCAAGAATTTTTATGGTAAAATTGTTCATTGTGGTCTCTTGTCTTACAAATCTCCAAAATCTCTATAAAGAATCACATATGAATAACTCTCCTGGATTATTTTTGACTAAAATGGTAGAAAAGATACCTAAATGTTTTTGTTTCTTAAATTACACAATGTGAACACAATCTCTCTAATATATTTTTATTTATCCATTCCTCCACTGATGGACATCTTGGTTGCTTCCATGTTTTGGCAATTATGAACAAAGCTGCTATACTGCTAAAAACATCCGTGTGCAGGTTTTTATATGGACATAAGTTTTCAACTCATTTGGAGCGCAATTGCTGGATTGTATGGTAGAAGTATGTTTAGTTTTGCAAGCAAATGCCAAACTGTCTTCTAAAGTGGATTTAACATTTTGCATTCCCACAGCCAGTGAATGGAAAGTTCCTATTGCTCCATGCCCTCCCCAGCATTTGGTGCTGGCAGCATTTTGAATTTTCACTATTCTAGTAGGTATGTGGTAGCATCTCACTGTTGTTTTGTAGTTCCCTAATGACATATGATGTTGAGCATCTTTTCATATGCTTATTTGCCATCTGTATATCTTCCATGGTAAGGTATCTATTTAGGTCTTTTGCCCATTTTTAACTGGGTTGTTCATTTCCTTATTGCTGGGTTTTAAGAGCTCTTGGTATCTTCTGGATAGTAGTCTTTTATCAGATACATCTTTTGCAAATATGTTCTCCCAGTCCGTGCCTTGTCTTCTCATTTTCTTGACAAAATCTCATTTTAAAAGATTGAAATATATTTAATAGGATGGAAAGGTAATCCCCATCCTTCTGATACTTCCAGTCTCCTACAAAGAGTTAGCCATTGTCAACAGTTTGGTACCATGCTTTGAGTCTCCATACTATACACTTATATACATATATCCTCTCAGCTTTGCTTTTCCTTAAAAATATGTAAATGTCTCTGGACATTGTGGCACATGTCTATAATTCAAGTTACTTGGGAGGCTGAGGCATGGGGATTGCTTGAACCCAGAAGGGCGAGACTAGCCTGGGCAACAAGGCAAGACCCCATCTCAAAGCAAAAAAAAAAGTAAGTATCAAAATGACTCAGAATTACACTCAAGGCCAACTGATTTTCAATAAAGGTGCCAATACAATTCAATGGGGGAAAGGACAGTCTTTTAAACAAACAATGCTGGGAGAATTGGGTATCCACAAGCAAAAAGATGAATTTAGATTCACAATCTCATACCACATAAAAAAACTAACCAAATGGATCACTGACTTAACTGTAAGTGCTAAAACCGTAAGTCTATTGGAAGAAAACACAGGAGAAAATCTTTGTGACTTGTGGTTACTTAAGTTCTTAGACACGGTGTCAAAATCACAACATAAAATAAAAAATCTGGCCAGGTGCAGTGGTGCACTCCTGCAATCCCAGTACTTTGGGAGGCCAAGGTGGGTGGATCACTTGAGGTCAGAGTTCAACACCAGCCTGGCCAAAAATTCAAAAGATACCATTAAGAGGATTAAAAGTTGAGCTACAAACTCAAAGAATATTTGCAAATATTTCTCATGAGGGACTTTTATCCAGAATATATAAAGAATAGTTACAACTCAATAAAGACAATCAAATTTAAAAATGGGTGCAAGAGATTTACATAGACATTTCAGTAGAAGATGATATATGAATGACGAATAAACTCATAAAAAGATACTTAATATCATTACTCATCAGAGAAATTCAAATCAAAACTACAATGAAGTCAGGCATGGTGACACTTGTAATCCTAGCAGTTTGGGAGGCTGAGGAGGGTGGACCACTTGAGCTCAGGAGTTTAAGAGCAGCCCCTGGGTAACATGGCGAGACCCCATCTCTACAAAAAAAAAAAAAATACAAAAAGTAGCCAGTCGTGGTGGCACATGCCTGTAGTCTCAGCTACTTGGGAGGCTGAAGCGGGAGGGTCATTTGAGCCCAGGAGGTGGAAGGTTGCAGTGAGGCGAGATTGCACGAATAGACTCCAGCCTAGGTGACAGAGTGAGACCCTGACTCAATAAACAAATGAACAAAAACCAAAAAAATTCTACAATGAAGTATCTCACACCCACTAGGATGGCTATGCAATAGATCCCCGTTATCTTCAAGGAATCTCTTCCAAGACCCCCAGGGGATGCCTGAAATGCAGATAGTACTGAACTCTATATACATTATTTTTTTCCTATACATACATACCTATGATAAAGTTTCATTTATAAATTAGGCATAGAGATCAGCAATAATAATCAACAATAAGATAGAACAATTATAACAGGATTCCGTAATAAAAGTTATGTGAATGTGGTCTCTCCTCTCCACCAAATGTCTTATTATACTATACCTGGGGTAACTGAAACCACAGAAAGCAAGACCCCTGATAAGGGGTGACTATTATAATAAAAAAGACAGACAATAACAAGTATTAGTGAGGATGTGAAAAAATAGAACACTCATACATTGTTGGTGGGAATGTAAAATGGTATAATCACTTTGGAAAACAGTTGGGGGAATTTCTTAAAAAGTGAAACAGGCCAGGCACGGTGCTCATGCTTGTAATCACAGCACTTTGGGAGGCCGAGGCGGGCAGATCACAAGGTCAAGAGATGGAGACCATCCTGACCAACATGGTGAAACCCCATCTCTACTAAAAGTACAAAAAATTAGCCAGGTGTGGTGGTACGTGCCTGTAGTCCCAGCTACTCGGGAGGCTGAGGCAGGAGAATTGCTTGAAACTGGAAAATGGATGTTGCGGTAAGCCAGGATCGCATCACTGTACTCCAGCCTGGCAATAAAGCGAGACTCTCTCTCAAAAAAAAAGTTAAACATAAATTTACAATATGACCTAGCAATATCTAGGTATCTATCCAAGAGAAATTTAAAGATATGTCCACACTAAGATTTGTGTGAAAATATTCAGATTATTCATCATCACCAAAAAGTAGCAGCAACCTAAATGTCCATCAGCGATGGAATATCACATAAAATGGACTACTACTCAGCAATAAAAAGGTGTCAAGTACACGGGGCAAGCTACAATATGGATAAAACTCAAAAACATGGCAAATGAAAGAAGCCAGATGCAAAAGACCACAAAATGTATGATGCTACTTATATGAAATACCCCAAAAAAGGAAAATCTCCAGAGACAGTAAGTGGATTAGTGGTTGCCTGGGTCTAGGAATAGAAATGGGGATTGACTGCAAACAGGTAGGAAGAATCTTTTTCTATTGATGAAAATGTTCTGGCCGGGCGTGGTGGCTCACCCCTGTAATCTCAGCAGTTTGGGAGGCTGAGGGAGGTGGATCACTTGAGGTCAGGAGTTCAAGACCAGCCTGACCAACATGGCAAAACACCATCTCTACTAAAAATAAAAAATTAGGTGGGCATGGTGGTGTATGACTATAATCCCAGCTACTAGGGAGGCTGAGGCAGGAGAATGGCTTGATACTGGGAGGCAGACGTAGCAGTGAGCCGAGATCACACCCTTGCACTCCAGTCTGGGCAACAAGAGTGAAACTCCATCTCAAAACAAACAAACAAAAAGTTCTAAATCTGGATTATGGTGATGTTTGCACAACTCTGTAAATTTAATAAAAATGATTGAACTGTTTATTTCAAATAAATAAATGTTATCATATGTAAAGTATACCTCAACATAGCTCTTTTTGTGTTAGAAAAAAAAATGCCCAATGGCCAACTTGAAGTGGCTCCCACTAAGCTAATGCTGGGAAATGAGCATTAGTCAGGATAATGACAATAGCCCGGACGCAGTGGCTCATGCCTCTAATCCCAGCACTTTGGGAGGCTGAGGTGGGCAGATCACTTGAGGTCAGGAGTTCGAGACAAGCCTGACCAATATGGTGAAACCCGTCTCTGCTAAAAATACAAAAATTAGCCAGGTGTGGTGGCAGGCACCTGTAATCCCAGCTACTCAGGAGGCTGAGGCAGAGAATCACTTGAACCCGGGGAGGCACAGGTTATGGTGAGCCAAGATGGCAACACCATACTCCAGCCTGGATGACAGCGAGAATCCATCTCAAAAAAAAACAAAAAAAGATAATGACTATAAACAATGTAAATATATCATATCTTCAAATCCACAACTTATAATGATACAAAACCCCCACAGAATCAATTGGTCAGAACTGAAGAGTGCTAGTGAACCAACTATTAAATATATAAAAACTAGTAAATATATAAAAACTGATCATAAAGTAATGCTTACACTGTTATGACTATACAAACACTATTCACACCTGGGCCATACAGCTGCTGAGATTCTGATTCCTTCCTCACAATGTTTTCTTTAGACTTAATAATTGTTTTGTTTTTTGTTTGCTCAGGGTTTTGGCTTGGTTTTTTGAGACAGGGTCTCACCTCTTTCTGGGAATGGAGCCCACTCTCCTCTTTTCTTGGGCAACTCCCTCATCTTTATGAGAGGCATTCTCAGTTTCCTGAGAAAGGGTTCGTGGAAAAAGGTGAATGAGATCTTGTGTGTCTGAAAAGGACCTTTCCACCCTCACACTTGATTGGTTCAGTACAAAACTCCGGGTTGGAAGTTAAATTCCCTCACAATTTTCAGGGTATTGTTCTAGCTCATAATACTGCTGCTGAGAGATTAAGGCGATTCTAACCTTTGATGCTATGCATAAAATTTGTTTTCTTTCCCTGGATGCTACCCTCTTCATCCCAAGAGTTATACGACGGTATTAAATGATGTAAGTTGCTGTGGGTCTACTCTGATTCTCAGTGCTAAGCACTCAATAGGCTCCTTCATTGTTCACTTGCTCCTCAATTTCTTTTTCGGTTCTCTTTTTCTGGAATTCCTATTATTTGGCTATTATATTTCCTGGTCTGGCTCATATAATTTTCTTATCTAATCTCTTCTGTCTTACAGTTTGTACTACAGGCATGCACCACCATGCCTGGCTAAGTGTATTTTCTGTAGAGACGGACTCTTACTACGTTGCGCAGGCTGGTCTTGAACTCGGCTCAAATGGTCCTCCCACCTCAGCCTCCTAAAATGCTAGAGTATCAGGCTTGAGCCACTGTGCCTAGCTGAGATTTCCTTAACTTCATATTCTACCTATTGTATCTTACATTTCTGTTCTCATATTGCTTAACTTCAAAGAGCAATTTGTTCTCTGAATGTTCTTTTTTAATAGGTATTTTTATTTGATAGGTGAAATGTCTGGTCTCTTTGAGAATATTAATACTTGCATTTAAAAGTCCATCCAAATAGCTTTCTTCCTAGATGTCTGCTTTGGCCTTTTTGTTTTAGGTTTAAAGCTTTCTTTTCTTTTCTTTTTTTTGGAGACAGAGTTTTGCTCTTGTTTCCCAGGCTGGAGTGCAACAGCACTAACTTGGCTCACTGCAACCTCCGCCTCTTGGGTTCAAGTGATTCTCCTGCCTCAGCCTCTCCAGTAGCTGGGATTACAGGCATGCACCACCATGCCCAGCTAATTTTATATTTATAGTAGAGACAGGGTTTCTCCAGGTTGGTCAGGTTGGTCTCAAACTCCCGAACTCAGTTGATCCGCCTGCCTCAGCCTCCCAAAGTACTGGGATTACAGGCTTGAGCCACCACGCCCAGCTAGGTTTGAAGCTTTCTTCAATGTCTATTGTTGGCTGTTGGTTCTTAAAATGCTATTTTATATGCTAATTTCTAAAATAAGTTCAAAAAGCTAGAGTCATCTTCCCCCATACCTTTACTGTTCTTCTGAGTGGTTTATTCTATCATAGCACTTTCTACATTAGAGTTATATTTTATATCTCAGTCACTAATCAAACTACAAATTCCTCTGGGACAGGGAACACACCCTTTTATCAACTCCTAATACAATGCTGTAGACACAACAGGAACTCAGTAACTGCTAGCTGAACTCGACTACCAAAGGCCAGTTGACTCGTTTCTCATAGGTCAAATCACTATAGACTATTCAAGAGTTGAAAATAATCTCAGTTTTCCACCCACAAAGAAATCATCCTGACAATATGTGGGAGGAGAGGACATAAGCCATAAAATTTAGATTGTGTTTTATATAAAGGTACTTTATAACATCTGGTTTATATTTCAAAAACCTAAACAGCTAATATTACCCTATTTTACTCCTGCTACTTAAAAAAAAAAAGTCCAAAGTTAATATATTTGAAATATTTAACCACATACCTGAAAACTAACCATATCCCAAAATCCATCCAGATCTGTACAGGTAGTCTCCTTTATACCTCGTTTATATTCACAATCATTAATTAGTCCTTCAAACTGTTGGAACCTTTCCTTCATAAGGAGTCTTGTTTGCCCAACTGTTGTGCGAATAAGATCTTTAGCTGAAGGAAAGAAGAGGTTTTTTAAAAGTAAAGGACAAAATAGACATTCATTGCAAGTCAGCCCACCAGTAAGACTTCACTCCAAATATCCTAGGACTTACAGATTGTTAAAGCAAAACAAAAAATATCTACCACAAAACTTTGTCATACAAATACTGCGTATTAACATATTTGCTTCAATTCCTGCTCAAAATTAACAATATTCTCTCTCATACCTATTGCTATACACTAAATAACATTCTACTTCTCCTTGTACTTTATAAGAACTCTCTGTCCGCCAGATATAGTGGCTCACACCTGTATTCAGCACTTTGGGAGGCCTAGGTGAGTGGATCACCTGAGGCCAGGAGTTCGAGACCAGCCTGGCCAACCTGGTGAAACTCTGTCTCTACTAAAAACACAAAAAATAGCTGGGCCTGGTGGCAGGTGACTATAATCCCAGCTACTCGGGAGGCTGAAGCAGGAGAATCACTTGAACCCAGGAGGTGGAGGTTGCAGTGAACCAAAAATCATGCCACTGCACTCCAGCCTGGGCAAAAAGAGCAAGACTCTGTCTTAGAAATAAGTAAATAAATAACACAACTCATTGCAAATAATTATCTAAGAAGGACCTCATACTGACAGCATATAAGTTTTTCTAACAACTTCCCCAAGTAAGTCAGATTTAAAAACTCTTCAGAAAATGTTTTCCATATTTATTAAAGCAATTTTCTTTTTCTTTTTTGTTTTGAGACGGACTCTTGCTCTGTCACCCAGGCTGGAGTGCAGTGGTGCAATCTCGGCTCACTGCAGACTCTGCCTCCTAGGTTCAAGTGATTCCCCTACCTCAGTCTCCTGAGCAGCTGGGACTACAGGCATGTGATACCACGTCCAGCTAATTTTTTGTATTTTTAGTAGAAATGGGGTTTCGCCATGTTAGCCAGGATGGTCTCAATCTCCTGACCTCGTGATATACCCACCTAGGTCTCCCAAAGTGCTGGGATTACAGGCATGAGGCACTGTGCCCAGCAATCTAGGTAATTTTCATTCAGAATATATTTTTGTACAAATAATAACAGATGTTGATGACACCACCCATGAAGTCATATCAAAAAAGCCAATAATATTCACTGTTACTTGCTTGGTTAGAAAAATGTCTAAGTCAAAGGAATGACAGTCAATATTCTAATTACTTACATATTTTAAGTTATATACTACTTTAGCACAGAGATATTAGGGAACATATATTGAGATTTAAAAATTCTTGCTTTTTTATTGTAGGCATCAGGTTAAAAAAGACAAATTCTTGCTACTTTGAATAATAATGAAAATATAATGTTAGGCAATGCTATATTTTTATGTTTCAGAGAAACATAGCCATAATAAAAGAAACAAAGCAAAGACAAAAAATATAAACGTTCCCTCACCATCATCCGGAATGTCCAAGTCAAGCTTCCTGTCCCACTCGAGGCAATGTGAAGTTAATTTCTCAGTTTCTGACTGGAGGATATTTCTAAAATTATGACAGACATTTCAGTTCTACAAGTGATTTTCACACTAGTATCTAGGTATTAGCATTATAACATAATACATAATATTAGGAAGTTATAAAAGGTAGGCATGAAATTAATTTCCCAAAGTTGATACTGATTTATAAACCATGATATATTAAAATCCATAAATACAAGTTGATACCTTGTGTATATACATCCTTTTTTTATGCCTAAAACTAACGCAGATGGATAATGCCAAGAACCTATTTTTTAAGCTAACATTTCTAGTTTGTTCTCTTCTTTTTCAGAGGCTGATCAAAGTCGGACATTCCTAAACATGCATTAGATTCTCTGCACTATCCATGAAACTAAAGCCAACTCAACTGTCAAGAGTAAATTAAAGCAAAACACTGTTAAGTCCAGGATTACAGTGATAGGGCCTCACAGATTCTAATTATTAGGCTTTGCTTGCTTAAAGGTAGTGGTTCTCACTGGGCCAATTTTGCCCCCCTCTAGGAAACATTTGGTGATGTTTGGAAATATTTTTCATTGTCATGACTGGAGGAGTGCTACTGGCCATGGATGCCACAAAACATCCTACAGTGTATAGGATATACACCCACAACAAGTATAAAATCTAAAATGTCAATAGTATCAACGTTGAGAAATCCAGGCCTAAAAAACGTTTAATCTGTGTCTATGTGAAAAGTATCCTAGCATGCAGAGAAACTGGAATTCTTGTACACTGTTGGTAGGAATGTAAAATGGCAAAGCCACTATAGAAAACCGTATGGCAGCTCCTCAAAAAATTAAAAATAGACTTACCATATGACTCAGCAATTCTACTTCTGAGTATATACCCAAAATAATTTAGAAGGGTCTCAAAGAGGTATTTGTACACCCAGGTTCATAGCTGTTCACGACAGTTAAAACATGGAAGCAACCCAAGTGTCCTTGTCACTTGTGAAATAATCCAGTAACAAAAAGACAAATACTACATAATTCTACTTATATAAGATACTTATAGGAGTCAAAAATCATAGAGACAAAAAGTAGAATGGTATTTACTAGGTGCTGGGGGAGGGAAGAACGGTGAAATATTGTTTAGTAGGTACAGTTTCAGTTTCACAATGAAAAGTTATGGAGATGGATGGCAGTGATGGTTATACAACATTATTAATATATTTAATAGCATTAAACTGTACATTGAAATGATTAAGATGGCTTAATTTTTTAAGATGGCTTAATCTACAAACTTGAAAAAAAAAAAATCTCTCCAAACGCAGGGATTAAAAATAACTAAACAAAAAATCAGAAGTTTTCTTAGTAGGAAAAACCGAATAAAGACTTTGTTTCTTTTTTGAGATAGTTTTGCTCTTCTTGCCCAGGTCAGAGTACAACGGCATGATTTCAGCTCAGTGCAACCTCTGCCTCCCAGGTTAAAGCAATTCTCCTGCCTCAGGCTCCCAAATAGCTGGGATTATAGGCACCCACCACCCCACCCAGCCAATTTTTTTATTTTAATGGAAACGGGGTTTCACCATGTTGGCCAGGCTGGTCTTTAACTCCTGACCTCAGGTGATCCACCTGCCTCAGCCTCCCAAAGTGCTGGGAGATTATAGGCGTAAGTCACTGCACCTGCCCAATTTTCTTTAAAAAAAAAAAAAAAAAAAAAAATTAGAGCCACGAGCTGTAGCCCACATCCGTAATTCCAACCAGCACTTTGGGAAGCCAAGGCAGGTGGATCACTTGAGCCCAGGAGTTGCAGACCAGCCTGGGAAACATGGTGAAAACCAATCTCCACTAAAAAAAAAAAAAAAAAAAAAACAAAAACAAAAACAATTATCTGGGCATGGTGGCACTCACCTTTTATTAAAAAAAAAAATTAAAATTTAAAAGATAAATGAAAATCACCTAACATCAGTTTTCCTCCACTATATTAAAGTTAAAAAATTTTTAATTTTAGTTTTAATGTCTAGATATTAATATAAAATTCTTACGCTAGAAACCAACAAACATAGACCCAGCTCCTCAGAAGGCTGAATGTAGGAGGTTGGGAGTTCAAGGCTGTAGTGAGCCAAGATCGAGATACTGCACTCCAGCCTGGGTGACAGAGTGAGACTCTATCCCCAAAAAAAACACAAAACAAAACCAAAACAAAAACTTGAGTTGTTTATATTCAACAACACAGCATGACGATTAACGAATGAGAAAGCAGAAATGGTTTAGCTCTGACATTATCTAGATGGTCAGATATCTCAATAACTCACTTGAACAACACAATGGATTTAGCTACCTCTAAAATCCCTTATAATGCTAAAATCCAGTGCCCTAAAGAAGAAATTAAGCCGGATGCAGTGGCTCATGCTTGTAATCATAACAGTTTGGGAGGCTGAGGCAAAAGAATCACTTGAGCCTGTGAGTTCAAGACCATCCTGGGCAATATTGTTAAGACTCTGTCTCTACAAAAAAATAAAAAACAAAATTAGCTGCCCACTGGTAGGAGGATGGCTTGAGCTCAGGACGCGCAGGCTGCAGTGAGCTGAGATCATGCCACTGTACTCCAGCCTGGGAGACAGAGTGCAGCCATTTCAAATAAATAAATAAATAAAATAAAATAATTAAAGTCATTCTCAAAAAAGGTATGTATAACACAACAAATGAATAATAAAAATATAGTGAGATACTTCTCATCTATTTGATTTGCAAACAGAATAGTGTGTATTATATGCTATTGTCTGTATTTTTAAAGAAGAAAAATTGTGTATGTTTGTATTTGCCTATATGCATTAACTATCCATGGAAGTATTCACAAGAAGGCCTTCATGCAAGGTTCAAACTATGCAGTTGGGACACAGTGCTGAGAAGACTTCTCACTTGTACCTTTTGAATTAGGAACTACATGAACGTACTAGTTATCAAAAATAAAATAAAATAAAATTTAAAATATAAGAGAAAATCACCTAATGTCAGGTTTCTTCCCACTGTATGAAGGTTAAAAATTTTCAGTTTTGGTTTTAAATTTAGTCTAGATATTAATACAGAATTCTTACACTAGAAACAGACAGACATACCTGAAATACGGCACATCATGGTAGGGCTGAGATATTTGACCTTCATTTGTTTCAAGTGATGAGACTTCTTTTATTGGAAGGTCATTTGAATCTTTAGTAGTAGCTTCATTTTTATTTAAAACATGTTCTATAAAGAAAGTCTTACATGTAAATTTAAAAGCAACAATTTCTAAAATGACAGCCCCAAAAAAGACCTTTTAAAAATCCTTCAATTTTTTTCCATATTTAATTTTAAAATTTTATTTCTGTCTCAATGACTTCATTCACATTTCCCCTAAAGTAGCTCTGAATATTTTTTCTTTAAATTTACATTTATTTCCCCTTTTCTCTGTATTCTTCATCCCAATTTTGTCTTCAGGTATCTTTACCCATGCCTTCCCATCTTTTCTGACAGTGAGTTCATATATGACCCTTAGTTCATATCCTCAAATGATATGGTAAAAAAGGACTCTAAACTAATCTGACAATTAATAATTCAGAAAAGTAAAAATTTAAATTACTATACCTGAAAGTAAAAGATTTTTTGTATTATTAACAGTAGTCTAAAAAATACATTAAATAAATAAATACATACATACATTAATAAAATACTATACCTTCATGCCCAACAGTCAGAGGACCCAAAGGACATTGCAATTTATTTGAATCCTGCTGCACTGTCTTGGTAGAGTAAGTTTTACATTTTTGTGCCAAAATTTCTTTTGTTGCTTCTTGAGACTTATCACTAAAAACAATAGCAAAAATATACTTCATGAAACATGAACTCTATATATCTAATTTAAGGGATTTCAAACTTGTGTCACTTTTTATAAATCTGGGTTAAAAAAGAAATTCTTCTATTTAAAAAAAAATGTGCATACTGGAGAGGAGAAAATTTAAACACCTATACTGTGAATGTCTTTCTTTACTAATTAATTGCAATGAGATTCAAATATTTTGAAGACTTCTTTTTTGTTTTTTTTTTGAGAAGGAGTCTTGCCCTTTTGCCCAGGCTGGAGTGCAACCTCCACCTCCTGGGTTCAAGCAATTCTCCAGCCTCAGCCATCCAGAGTAGCTGGGATTACAGGCAAGTGTCACCGCGCCCAGCTAATTTTTTGTTTTTGAGACGGAGTTTCACTCTTGTTACCCAGGCTGGAGTGCAATGGCGCGATCTCGGCTCACCGCAACCTCCGCCTCCTGGGTTCAAGCAATTCTCCTGCCTCAGCCCCCCGAGTAGCTGGGACTATAGGCGTGTGCCGCTATGCCCAGCTAATTTTTGTATTTTTAGTAGAGATGGGGTTTCACCATGTTGACCACAATGGTCTCGATCTCTTGACTTCGTGATTAATCCGTCTCAAAATAAAAAATAAAAAAATTTCACGGTTCGTAACTAACATAGTTCAATAGCTAAATAATTTTTTAAGAGTACAGGCTAAATATAAGAAGGCATTTATTACCCATCTTAGCAAGGGACTTATTAATATTACATTCTTACACTTCTGTTTTTGAAGGAGTCCAGGTGTAACCGGGTGTCAAAAAGGCATTGGCACTTCTGGGAGTCATAGGTGTTATTTGATAGGTCTTGAGACCATCCAGTGGCTGAAATGTAAAATCTTTAGGTGCGAAGGAATTCTTCCCTTTCATTTTTGCAGAATGTATCTCAGGTAAGTTTTCCATTTTTGATAAGATTCCATCTGGATCCATTCCGTTTGTGGCATTAGTTTGTGAATCCAAAGTATTTTCTTCACTATTGACTTTACAAGAAATACCCTAGGATGTGAGTTAACAAAGTAAGATTTCGCTCTTCTGAGGATATATTCAACCAATTTTTATATATTTGAAAACATGACAACTGAAATATATGTACTACGTACATAATTTGAGAGCAAAAACAGATAAAATTAAGTGTGTACATGGAATCAGAAGACTGTTGATGCTAAACCATTGCTATTCCCCAGGAATAGAGAGAACCAATTCTTATTAAAAGACTAATATCGGCCGGGCATGGTAGCTCATGCCTGTAATCCAAGCACTTTGGAGGCCAAGGTGGGTGGATCACCTGAGGTCGGGAGTTCAAGACCAGCCTGACCAACATGGCGAAACCCCATTAAAAAAAAAAGAAAGAAAGAAAGAAAAAAGACTAATATCTTTCAGAAATTACAACAAATTAAAAGATAATAGATAATTAATATGGAAAAACTTACTCAACAAGCAAAGACCTGTTTACTTAAATTATGTTGATAATTACAATGGTTTAAAGTCAGAAATCTAACATTATGGAATGACTATTGTTAAGGACCAAATCCTTTACTTAAATAACCTTAGATTATAAATAACCTTACCACAAGAGCAATACTTTTCAATGTGACATAAAAGATTAACCATATAAAATACAAAGCATATTTACTATTTCAAGTCAATTTGTTACTTGGTATTTAAATATAATTTCTAGAGGTTTCTAGGCTTCTGATTTTTAATAAGATATGAACTCAAACCCAGGTATTTCAATCCGGACAAAAGTTAAAGTAGCAACACTGTTGAGGCTAGCATGGCAGTCAATGCAAAAAGTAGTGATAATCCTTAAGGGTAAAATAAATCTTAAGGGAGGACCTATAAGGTCCAGCTGCTTTATCTGCAAAGATTCATTGTATGTGTCCTTTCTTGATCTGTGTTTGATTTTTTACTAAGAATCTAGCAAGTTTACTTAATCTTTGTTACTTTTTTTAAATTAAGAAATTACACCGGTGGGGAGCAGTGGCTCATGCCTGTAATCCTAGCACTTTGAGAGGCCAAGGCAGGTGGGTCACCTGAGCTCAGGAACTCAAGACCACCCTGGGCAACATGGTGAAATGCCATCTCTACCAAAAATATAAAAGTCAGATGGGTATGCTGGCATGCAGCTATAATCCCAGCTACTTGGGAGGCTGAGGCAGGAGAATCACTTTAACCCCAGATGTGGAGGCTGCAGTGAACTGAGATGGCACCACTGCACTCCAGCCTGGACGACAAAGTGAGACTCTTGTCTTAAAAAAAATAAAAATAAAAAAATAAATAAATTATATCATAGATTTATAAGCCAAGGAATCCTCAAATGGGGCATATTTTTTGAAGACCTTATTAGAAACCATTGCAGATGCTGGCAAAAATTTTAGTTTATTTAATTCTTACAAGTACTCTATGTAGGTATTCCATGTTAGGAATAAGAAAACAAACTCATAAATTACACTACTTGCCCAGGGCTATATAGCTAATTGGAAGCAGAGAGAGTATTCAAACCCAGGCCTAAATGAATACAAAGTCAATGCATTTCACCCCACTCCATCCTATGTCTTGGCTAATTCCCCCATAAAGGTTTCTCTCAGCTGTGTTTTTATCATTTTTCTCCATCTTCTAACCAAATTATGCTTTCCCTACATATAAAGCTCTGAAGGGCGCAGCGGCTCACATCTGTAATCCCAGCACTTTGGGAAGCCAAGGCAGGTGGATCACGAGGTCAGTAGTTCGAGACCAACCTGGCCAATATGGTGAAATCCTGTCTCTACTAAAAATACAAAATTTAGCAGAGCGCGGTGGCACATGCCTGCAGTTCCAGCTACTTGGGAGGCTGAGGCAGGAGAATCACCTGAACCTGGGAGGCAGAGGTTGCAGTGAGCTAAGATCATACCACTGCACCCCAGCCTGGGCAATAAATTGAGACTCTTTCAGAAAACAAAACAAAACAAAACAAAAAGCTCTGAAAATAAGATACCAGAAAAACAAGAACAAATCCTCTCGATGCTTTCTTATGGTCTGGGAAGTTTGTTATTTATCTTTAATTTTATTTACTTAAATGGAGTTTAACTTGTTTACCCAGGCTGGGGTGCAATGGCACACATCTTGGCTCACTGCAACCTCCATCTCCCAGGTTCAAGCGATTCTCCTGCCTCTGCCTCCCGAGTAGCTGGGATTACAGGTATGCACCACCATGCCTGGCTAATTTTCTATTTTTAGTAAGGACCAAGTTTCTCCATGTTGATCAGATCAGTCTAGAATTCCTGACCTCAGATGATCTGCCTGCCTCAGCCTCCCAAAGTGCTGGGATTACAGATGTGAATCACTGTGCCTGGCCTGGTTCAGGAAGTTTTAACACACATGTAGGTTAACCTCTTGAAGCAGTTCTGTATGTTTAATTTCAACTTTATGAAAGTAGCAATGAGATTTTCAAAGCATCTAGAAGTAAAAAGATGTTTATTCTCTACCTTGTCAGGTTTTGTTTCTATGTTTTTGGCAGGTCTTCCTTTATTTGGCACCTTTGTTTCTGGTTTGTTGTCTAAAATAACAATAAAATAAAATATTTTACTAGATAGAAATGCTACATTAAAATACTAGGTAAACAGGAAAAGGAAAAGAAGCAACAGGAGGAATACATGCTTTAAAGAATTTTTATTATAAAAAGCCATATTATAAAAGAGGTTAAAAACAAATGGAATTTCCTGCCAAGTACAGACCATCTGTTTGTAAAGTCAGAGTGTTTGACCTTTACCCTCTGAATACCAAATACAGATTGAATATCCCATATCCAAAATGCTTGAAACCAGAGGTATTTTAGATTCCAGATTTTGGAATATGTACATTATACTTACAGGTTCAGCATACCTGATACAAAAATCTAAAATCTGAAATACCCCAATGAGCATTTCCTTCGAGCATGACCTTTAAATGCCATGTCGGTGCTCAGGATTTTCAATGTTTTGATTAGGGTTGCTCAACCTGTACATATTTATTATAGACAATTAGAAAAATACAAAAGACTGCAAAGAACAGCAATGAAAAATCACCCAGATTCCATTACTCAGTTGTCACTTAGGGTATGGTTTTCCAGTCCTATATCCACATAATCACATACTGCTTTTTAGAATTGTGATCCTACTGTACAGAGTTCGATCTTCTTTTCTCTGCCCACTTAATATATCATGAACCATGTCATTAAGTGCTCTTTTATAATATTGTTCTTAATGGCTACATTGTATTGCCCCAAATAAATGAACTATGATTTATTAGGACCATTAATTTTTCACTTTGAAACACTGCTTATACCAATTCAGGTCTTTAATGTTTGGGCATCTATGATGTGCTAACTAGATGTCAAGGCACAGAATCTAGTTTCAGGAATTACAATTTCCTGTTTTCTTCTCTCCTACTCAAAGTACTTGTTGATTTTTGAAACAGAATACAAAAACCTCAAGGACCAAACATTCTAGTTCAGTAACTGATCAAGAAATAGTTCCTACCATTAGCAGCTCTTGTGACTGGCTTTCTTGCTGTGGTAGATGAGACTGTTCTGGGAACCTGCTTTGCCGCTTCAGTAGCTGATCGAGTCATTCTCAATGATGTGGGCATTACAGGTTGCACAACTGTGCGGAAAAAAAAAATAATCAAATGTCCTTTGTAGTTATTAAATTATGGCTGTGAAGCCGGGCATGGTAGTGCACGCCTGTAGTCCCAGCTACTCAGGAGGCTGAGGCGGGAGGATCACTTCAACCCAGAAGTTTGAAATCAGCCTGGGCAACATAGTGAGATCCCATAGCTAAAAAAACTGTAAAAATCAGCTGGGCATGGTCGTAAGCCTGTAGCTCCAGCTCCTCAGGAGGCTGAAGTGGGAGGATCACCTGAGCCCAGGAGGTGGAGGCTCCAGTGAGCTATGATTGCGCTACTCCACTCCAACTTGGGCGACAAGCCTGTCTCAAATATATAAATAGATTCCAGTTGACCTTCTGGACACCTAAAATTATGGCTATGGTAGCGTTGGAGAATTTATAGTAATTGCTAATATTCCTACCTTTTTTCTCTTTGTCTGACACTTTCTTTTCAGATGTTTGTCTTTGACCAGGTCGGACTGCTTGAACATCACTGTCATTATCAATCTATTTAAGAGATTAGGTGTCATGTGATTTAATTGCAAAATGAATCAAACCACCATATTTTTAATCCATAAATTGATTCCTCACCTGAAATATGATCATTGTAAATGACCCAACCAAAAAAAAAAATAACTACTACCCCCAATGAGATAAAATAAAAAAGCTTTCCATTAAGCTTCCAAAAAAGCTTACATCCTTTTTCAGAATCACAGATTTTAGAAAATGCAAATAACCTAAGCTATTAAAAACTGCTAACTATAACTTGCCTTCTGAAGGTTTTTAAACATGCCAGACATGCTTTCACTTCAAGAGATTTTAATTTTGCCTAGAAAATGCTTCTGGATAAAAAGCTCTTTTCCATGGTTCTCTCCTCCACTTTCATGACTTTACTCAAAAGGCTTTCATCGGCTGGGCTTGGTGGCTCAAGCCTGTAATCCCAGCACTTTGGGAGGCCGAGGCGGGTGGATCACGAGGTCAAGAGATCGAGACCATCCTGGTCAACATGGTGAAACCCCGTCTCTACTAAAAATACAAAACATTAGCTGGGCGTGGTGGCACATGCCTGTAATCCCAGCTGCTCAGGAGGCTGAGGCAGGAGGATTGCCTGAACCCAGGAGGTGGAGGTTACGGTGAGCCGAGATCGCGCCATTGCACTCCAGCCTGGGTAACCAGAGCGAAACTCTGTCTCAAAAAAAAAAAAAAAAAAAAAGGCTTTCATCTTACAGAGGCCTTCTTTGACTGCCCAATCAAAATTCTACCCCACACCTACTTCTAGTACATCCCTTATCCTTTTTTAAAAATCTTCTCCATAATACTTATGATCTTCTGACATATGTTTGTTTTTTTTTTTAACTGCCTTACATGTAAGTTCCACAAAGACAGGAAATTTAGTTTATTATTATATCCAAAAGCGCACAACAATGCCAGGAACATCATAGCAATGCAAAATCTATTACATATGCATAAGAGGAACTTAGCTTCCTTCCCTGATAAAGAGGCATACTATTTCCCTTTGCCCACTTCACTTTTAGTAACCCTCCTGATATCTTTCTTACAGTATTGTGAAGACCCATAAGTTTATAACACCTACCCTGTGTGTTTTCCTCCCCATCTGCATTTAATGCAGATAACTTGAATGCATAACAGGAACCCAGTAAACAAAACAAGAATGTGACACGAAGACAGTTTGCCATGGATCTCATAAGGAATGTTGGAGTAAATATTTTAAGTGAAATTACTCTGCATCACCATACCAAAAGCAGTGACTTTCATACCTGTTAACTCTAGTAAATTAACCATTATGTTTGAATCTGATATTAGATTAAAAGTGAACTTATTCACTCTGAAAAAAAGTACAATTTATCATTTTAGTAACAATTATCTACTATCAACTATACCTTAGCCTGCTCCATTTGGTCTTTGGCCTTTGACCTTGTAATCCGTACAGAAGATGGAATAGCCTTAGAATATCAAAAAGAAAATAAACTTTAAAAAAACGAACCGGCAAATAAAAAAAAAAAGAACTGGCAAAGGTTTACTTCCATATCTTATTACAAAATAAAGTTCCCTTTTTAAAGTTAAATTCTATCCTTAATCCCTTATAGCAGCAAAAAGATACTTGCTCACTTAAATTCCTATTTTTTTCTTGTTCTAGCCTGATTTAAATTAAGTTTAAGTTAGTAACTTCAAAAATCACTCATATTCCTCAGTGAGAAAATTTCAAACCACATTTTCCAGGTATTGTAATCGTCATTAATATGATTAACCAGACAATAAGAATGCCATAGATGAGTAGATTAGAGTATTAGGATCTTTGTTTTCTATTTGTAAAGAGCTATCTTACAGCTTTCCTAGTTTTGAGTTTTAACAATTTGCTCTTGATTCTCATGATTATGTACTTGTCCACTGTCCATAAGAAAACAGAGACTTGATCACAAAATGTGGAAAACTCTAGCAAGAGAAAAAATGATTAAAAAGTGGTAAGATATTTACTAAGTCTATAAAATTCCTTAAGAAGCATAATCTCAGACTTCTGTAGATTAGAAACCATTTTCTTCTAATCAGTGAAAACCTAGTGCTAAAAACTAGTCTTTCCTCTAGAATGCATAAAGAAAGCAGAATTCATCAATGGCTACCATATAAATAGAATATGAAAACAATGATTGGTGAATCTTATTATTTAGTACCATGTTGTACCTCTGTTCCTATTTAACACTTTTTAAATAGCTGTTTGGAGTTTAGACCAGTGATTGGTATCGTACATATTGTTGAAAAGCCAGCTTAAATCTAACCCTTTCCAAGAGTAGTTCTTTGTTGTTCCTCCAAACAGAAACAACCTCCCTCCTTTCACACAGAATGTATTTATCTGTATCTTGCTTCCTTGAATTGTATCCTATTAGTTTTGGTCTCTTCCATATTATACTAAGGTTATACCAGAGTAAATACCCAAGGATCTGTCCAATGAATCAGTGAGAGTCACAAGGCCAAGAATAATATTCAAGTTTTACTTATATCAGGAATGTACAGTCAATGAGATCATCAGTGACTACAAATCATCAGTGACTACGAATTTACAATCTAGCTGCTTTTGTTCAAACTTTATCCTTCCTGACTCACTGACCACGCTCTCCTTTAGATTACTCTGCCTTTAACCTTCTATCCTTTTAGTTCTCTTGCCTCTCTGCCCAGTCCTCAGCCTGGTACCTGACTTCTGCCCACCTAAAGGTGCTCTCTAGAGCCCACTTTTTCATAATTTTATATATCCTTATTGGAATGGTCTCAGTCCTACAGCTTAAACTCCCATCCATACTCCCAATATTATATCCTAAATCTACATCCTAGCACCAATTTCCATCTTGCTTTCCAAATTTTTACTCACTGGTATCTAGATGGTCTACACAAGTTTAAGATTTTTTAAAAGGTTTTTAGCATGCACCCACTTAAACCTGTTCCTTTTCTTGTCTTATTTCTTTTAGCAGCAGCATAATTTACATGGTTAATCAAACTAATAGCTTAAGAATCTTCTCTCTGCTTTTTCAATTTCCTTTACCCCTCACCATCTACTTGGCCACCAGTCCTGTCAAATGCCTTTCTTTAGATGTCTTACACCTATCTTCTCATTTTAAAACCCACTGCCCCTTTCCATCTATTCTAGCCCACCTATTCCATTACAGTAGTCTCACAACTGGTCTCCCTATTTATAAATGCTTCCCCTTCCAGACTAAAATCTTTAGGGCTATAGTATTTTCCTGAATTATTAATTTGACAGTGGCACTACCCTTATTTAAAACTTCTCCTGATTCTTCATAACCTACAGGATAAACACGAAATTCTTTGCGTAACATTGTTCGGCCTGGTTCTACCCATTTTCCTAGTTTTATCCCATCTCATCTTACCTACAGCTATCTCAAGAGACCTGATTTTCATTCTTCTGAGCTACTATTATGTCACTCCCACCTTCTACCAACCACTTAAGTAAATAAAGAGACTAAAGGAAAGGGGTTATTATAGTCATTTAATGTCTTGAAGAAAATTCCAAATAAAAGAAACTATTCCTTTTTATTAAGACACTAAATTTACCTTTTTTGGCTCAGCTTTCACAGCATTCTGGTTCGATAAAAGAAAACAAGGCATATCAGGTCTATAACGACCCACTTTAAATATTCCTCGTTTAGCTTTCTCTCTCTGCTCTTTCAATTTTTGAAGTTGCTTTTCTTCTTTGTATTTTTGGAGCATTTGTTTTCGTTGATCACCCAGAACAGTTTTTATTGACTCTAGGCAGGAAAAAACAAAACAGCACAGTATATAAAACATTTCAGATGAAAAATTATGCAAATGTCTAAACAATTATTTTTGTGTCATTTCAACTGCTCCTAAAAAAAATGCTTTCCATAAGCCAGGCACAGTAGTAGTTCAACCCAGTGGGGAGTCTCAGGCAGAAGGATCACTGGGCCCAGGAGTTCAAGTGTAGCTTGAGTAACATAGCAAGACTCCTCCATACAAAAGGAGATGCTTTTAATATTTCCTGTTAATTCTTTAGCACTCTAACCACAAGTTATTTCAACCCCTAGTCTTTTAAAATTTTTATTCATTTTGCCTTCATGTGTTCAAATATTAAACGCTTGCTATGTATTAGGCATCTATTACTTCACTTTTAAATTAATTAACTTGTATGACAGCCAGCATTCAAGTTGACCACTACCGATCCTCACTTCTTGGTAGTCTTGCCCTGTGTCATCCCGTCTCACACTGAATAGGGCTGACTCGTGTGATCAAGAGAGTATTACAGGAATAATGGAGTATGACTTCTAAAACTAGGTAGTGTTTGCCTTGCTCTCTCTTGAAGAGTCATTTGCTCTAAGGGAAGCCAGGTGCCATGTGGGGCCTTAAGAATACTCAAGCAGTCTTATTGAGATGTCCATATGACAAAGAACTATGGCTTCCTGCCAAAAGCCAGCACCAACTTGCTGTTCATGAGTCCATCATCCTGGGGGCAGATCCTCCAGTTTCAGTTAAGGCTTCAGATATACCTCTGGATGACATCTTGGCTCAAATTCCTGACCCACAAAAATTGTATTAAATAATCAATGTTTACTGTTTTAAGCTGCTAAGTTTTGGGATAAATAATACAATTATAGGTGCTATTTATTATAATAGATGTACTTCATCCCTTCTCATCTATTCAAGGACATTCTTCCAGCAACTTATTCTCTCACTCATCTATTTTTTCCTCTACTGAACCGTCACAAAGTTACAAACATGTAGTAATTTCTCTAGTCCCATTTAAGGCAAAATTCTTCAAGAGAGTTGTCTGTATTTCTACTTCCAACACTTTTTTTTTTTGAGACGGAGTCTCATTCTGTCACCCAGGCTGAAGTATACTGCGTGATCTTGGCTCACTGCAACCTCTGCTTCTTGGGTTCAAGCAATTCTCCTGCCTGAGCCTCCCTAGAAGCTAGGACTACAGGCACGTGCCACCATACTTGGCTAATTTTTTGTATTTTTAGTAGAGATGGGGTTTCACCATGTTGCCCAGGATGGTCTTGAACTCCTGACCTCAGGTGATCCATTCACCTCAGGCTCCCAAAGTACTAGGATTACAGGCATGAGACGCTGCACCTGGGCTATTTCCAACACTCTTTAAAACTCCTCTCTTATTTTCAAAATTATGAAAAATTTCTAATACACAATCAGAACCTCATATACCTATTACCCAGATTCAATGATTACGAAAATTTTCCTGGAGTTGTTTAAACATATTATACTTAGAAGATTTCATCTATAAATACTTCAGTATATACTTCTAAAAAACAGACATTTCCTTTCATAGCCTTAACACATCGTCATCACACTAAACAAAATCAGTAGTAATTCCTTGTTATCTATTATAGGGTCCAGATTTAAACTTCTCTATTTGCTTCAAAGAGGCCTTTTAAGCCATCTATTTATTTAAATCAAGAACCAAGTAAGATCTACATATTTTATTTGGATGTCTCTCTTTTTTTTTTTTTTTTTGAGACCAAGTCTCATTCTGTTGCCAGGCTGGAGTGCAGTGGCACAATCTTGGCTCACTGCAATCTCTGTCTCTAGGTTCAAGCAATTCTCCACCCTCAGTCTCTGGAGTAGCTGGGTTTACAGGCACGCACCACCATACCCAGTTAATTTTTGTATTTTTAGTAAAGATGGGGTTTCACCATGTTGGCCATGGTCTCCTGACCTCATGATCCTCCCACCTCTCAAAACTCTGGGATTAGAGGCGTGAGCCACCATGCCTTTTAAGTCCCTTCATACAAAACAGATCCTTCTCCGCACTCTTCATGCCTTGTCTTACTGACAAAAGGTAGTCAGTTTTCCTATTTAATGTCCTGCAAGCTATATTTGTTTTCTTGTTCCTCTAGGCCCCATGTTTTCTATAAACTAGAAACTATATCTAAGGGTTTGATTATACTCACCCATTCCAATCTGAGTTTCACTCCCTGAATTTCTCTCCACCAAACTATTCATCAAGATCACCAATGACTTCCACAGTGGTGAAGTCCAAATTTTCACCTCCCATATACTGGATCTAACAAGCAATACTAATATAGTTAATCAGTCTCTCCTCCTTGATATGCACTTTTCCACTTGGTTTCTAGGACAGCACATTCTTCTGGTTATCCTCTTGCATTACTTTGCACTGTTCCCTGGTTCTTTACTAGTTTTCCCTTGGCTTTTCATATTTTAATATCAACTAAATTACCGCAATAGTCTACTTACTGCTCTTCCTGATGCTGTACCTACTAACCCACAATCTATTCTCAACACAGCAGCCAAAGTGATCCTTTTTTTTTTTTTTAAGGGACAGGATCTCTTTGTGTTGCCCAGGTCCAAGTACAGTGGCTATTCACAGGCACCATCATAGCACACTAAAGCTTCAAACTCCTGAGCTCAAGATCTTCCTGTGTCAGCCTCTGGAGTAGCTGGGGCTACAGACCTGGCTCCAAAGTGATCCTTTTAAAACATAAATCAGACTAAAAAAACAATCATTAATGGCCTCTCATTTCAGAGTGAAAGCCAATGTCCTTACAATGATGGTCCCAGGATTCTATGCAATCTATCTCCCTTGTTCATTCTTTTCTAGCCAGTTACCTACTTGATTTCTCTAAAACATCAGGAACACTCCTATCTCTAAGCCTCTAGAAATGGGAAATAAAGGATATTTTAATAGCATATTGACACAGACTTTTATTTGATTTTGGTTAAGAAATGGAACATTTGAGAGGACAAGAGTAGAGGCCAGGCGATGACTTAGGAGGTAATACTACTACCCATTCTCAGAAAAAAATTTTGGTTCTTTCTACCACTCCCCATTTATCCTAGCGTTATTTCAATGCCATCTAGTTCCTAATGCCTGCTATATGAACACAACAAATAGGAGTATGGTGACTCCTGACTGAAGTCATTTCTCAGTTTCCATTCTCTTCTCTGTAGCATCCTTTGCCTTCTAAGACGCTCTATTTTCATCTTTTTCTGAGATTATTCCTTTCTTCTTTAGTTGGTTCTTTTCATCCTAATGGTCCCAGTCCTTCTGGGGAAACTGCAAGGATGAATTCTTTGCTGTTTTCTTAGTAATGTTTCCATTGACAAAGTACTCTCATTTCATGTATTCTTTATTCTATTTATACATTTCTTATCAATTTATCTAGTCAACACTTATCTTACCCAAGCTCCATAAAAACTTTAGGATTTCTATAAGGCAATATGGATAACAAAGTGTTATAATATTCTATAGGTAAATGGCTTTGCCTAAGAGACAGTAGTTGTAGAAAACAGGTTATTAAGGAACTAGGCGCCACGGCTCATGCCTGTAATCCCTACACTTTGGGAGACTGAGGAAAAGAATTCCTTGAGCCTAGGAATTTGAGGTTACAGTGAGCATACCACTGCACTCCCGCCTGAGTGACAGTGAGACCCTGCCTCTTGTATTAAAAAAAAAAAAAAAAAAAAACCAAATAAGAAAAATTACTTAGAACAGTATTTCAAAACTCTTCTGGCCAGGGTTTTTTACTCACACAGGCATTAAACCAACTATTATTCGCTCTTAAAATTACAATAGATCTTTACTTACTTGGCTTGACATTGGCCTTTTCTGGAACAAGCTCTTGAGCTGTCTCATCTAATTCAACAAGAATTCTACTTTCCAAGGTTGGAATATTTACATCTTTCAAACCAAAGTGTCTATTTCGTTCATATTCCTTATGTCTGCTTTCTTTCTGAGACAGTGATTTTCTGTGAGCAATTTTAGTTCTAATCATTTCAGTACTTAAATCTTTCCTATGTCGACTGGCAAAATGTGAAGACATCCTGTCAAGAAAAAGCACAAAACCCAACTTATATGAATTTTCATTGTTTAAAAAATTAAGATTACAGTTCATCTCCTGTCCCACTTCAGAGACTTCTGAAATAAAATATGAAAATGCACAATGAAATAAGTACATAACACTGAAAAGTGGGAAGGAGATTATCAGAGCATAGGAAGCTACAACCTATTTGGGAGTTTCAAATAGGAACTTGCTTGACTGATAAACAGAAAGCCAAGAAGCTACAGTACCCAATAAAAGAGGCTCTGGGCTTACCATAGAGAACACCAGAAAAAATAAAAGCATGAACTAAAGGTGAAAATAGGGTAAGTAAGTGAAGAACTGCGTACGGAATGGTTTCCTTACCCATGATGATGAATACAGGTAGTCTAACATTTCTTCAAAAGCCAAAAAACAAAAACCCCACACCAGGTGCCTGCTAGTCATGTAGGGACAATCAACAGGCAACTGGATACAAATAGTTGGATAGAGTTAGATAGAGAGGCACAGGGAAAGGTATGTGGAAAGGAACAAGAAGCTTCCATGCTCTCTCAGGTAACACTGCTGGTTAGGAACCTGCATGTGATCACCCACCTAGAAGCTCTCCAAACTCAGGTTTGTTTTTTGTTTTTTTTTTAAATGGCAGCTTCATTACATACACTTGAGTGATTAAATGATTGGCCACTGGCAATCAAATCAACCTTCAGCTCCTCTCCCCTCCACAGAGGTTGTGAGGTGGGGCTGAAAGTCCCAACTCTCTAATCCTGGCTTGGTCTGTCTAGTGACCAGCCCAATCCTGATGCTATTGAGAGGCCTCCAGCCATCCATCAATCATTAGCATACAAAAAGATATCCAAGGATTTTAGGCGTTTTCCAGAAAACAGAACAAAACCAAATATACAGTTCACAATAACCGTATCACTTTGCTCCATTATTTTCATCCATACAAGAACAAGAAATCATATAGTTTAGGCCCACCCCCCGGTGGCTTAGGCCTGTAATCCTACCACTATGGGAGGCAGAGGCGGGAGGACTGCTTGAGCCCAGAAGTTCGAGACCAGCCTGGGCAACATAGCACAACCCTTTCTCTATAAATTTAAAAAAAGAAAAGCCATACATATACATACACACACACACACACACACACACCCACACACGCAGGAGATCATATAGTTTACTTGGCATAACCATTTTGTAGGAAAGATCTATATTCAAGCAAAACAAAAGAGGGCAATAAAGACGATGTCAGTGGATCCAACTGGGGAGAACAAAGAAAAGTGGAGTTTGAGCCGGGCGCGGTGGCTCAAGCCTGTAATCCCAGCACTTTGGGAGGCCGAGGCGGGTGGATCACGAGGTCAAGAGATCGAGACCATCCTGGTCAACATGGTGAAACCCCGTCTCTACTAAAAATACAAAAAAAAATTAGCTGGGCATGGTGGCTCGTGCCTGTAATCCCAGCTACTCAGGAGGCTGAGGCAGGAGAATTGCCTGAACCCAGGAGGCGGAGGTTGCGGTAAGCCGAGATCCCGCCATTGCACTCCAGCCTGGGTAACAAGAACGAAACTCCGTCTCAAAAAAAAAAAAAAAAAAAAAAAAAAGAAAAAGAAAAAGTGGAAGCCGGGCGCGGTGGCTCAAGCCTGTAATCCCAGCACTTTGGGAGGCCGAGGCGGGTGGATCACGAGGTCAAGAGATCGAGACCAGCCTGGTCAACATGGTGAAACCCCGTCTCTACTAAAAATACAAAAAATTAGCTGGGCATGGTGGTATGTGCCTGTAATCCCAGCTACTCAGGAGGCTGAGGCAGGAGAATTGCCTGAACCCAGGAGGCGGAGGTTGCGGTGAGCCGAGATCGTGCCATTGCACTCCAGCCTGGGTTAACAAGAGCGAAACTCCATCTCAAAAAAAAAAAAAAAAAAAAGAAAAAGTGGAGCTGGTACAGAGAACCACCAAAGCAAACTGGAGAAAGGGTACTGATTCTCAGAAGTCTTGGCAGTTTAAAAAAAAAGGGGGAAGCCGGGCGCGGTGGCTCAAGCCTGTAATCCCAGCACTTTGGGAGGCTGAGGCGGGTGGATCACGAGGTCAAGAGATCGAGACCATCCTTGGTCAACATGGTGAAACCCCGTCTCTACTAAAAATACAAAAAAATAGAGGCCGGGCACGGTGGCTCAAGCCTGTAATCCCAGCACTTTGGGAGGCCAAGGCGGGTGGATCACGAGGTCGAGAGATCGAGACCATCCTGGTCAACAAGGTGAAACCCCGTCTCTACTAAAAATACAAAAAATTAGCTGGGCACGGTGGTGTGTGCCTGTAATCCCAGCTACTCAGTAGGCTGAGACAGGAGAATTGCTTGAACCTAGGAGGCGGAGGTTGCGGTGAGCCGAGATGGCGCCATTGCACTCCAGCCTGGGTAACAAGAGCGAAACTCCGTCTCCAAAAAAAAAAAAAAAAAAGGGGGGGGGAAGCGGGGAGGCTCTGTGATAGCCACACTATGGTATATTCTTCAACAAGAATTAAATCTACTAGAAAACTCCAGATAATGGAAAAATTGGCACAAGAAATGCAATAAATTGTTACATGATTCTAAACAATCAACAAAGTATAAAAAATGAGAATCTGGGCTGGGTGCGGTGGCTCACGCCTGTAATCCTAGCACTTTAGGAGGCAGAGGCGGGCAGATCACCTGAGGTTGGGAGTTCGAGACCAGCCTGACCAACATGGAGAAATCCCGTCTCTACTAAAAACACAAAATTAGCTAGGCACGGTGGCGGGTGCCTGTAATACCAGCTACTTGGGAGGCTGAGGCAGGAGAATCACTTGAATCCGGGAGGCAGAGGTGGCGGTGGGCCGAGATTGTGCTATTGCACTCCAGCCTGGGCAACAAGAGCAAAACTCCATCACACACACACACACACACACACACACACACACACAAAAAAAAAAAATCTGTCTGACCTGCATGTTAGTAACATTCAGCTCTAAGACCCGAGGGAAATGACAAATGACTGTGCTTTTTATCAAGAACTCTCTTCCACTATTTGTTATCTCCGGGAGTATTAATTTGCTAAATGTTGAAGAACAACCAAGACTTATGTATTAGTTATTTTAAATACGGGATAGCACTATCCACAGCGAGAGAGAGAGAGAGAAAGAGCGAGAACATTAAAGGTTTAATTATCAGAATAACCCTGAAAGGCAGTTACTATTATCGCTCTTGAACAGATGAGGTAAATTAACTGCTCACATTAGCATAGCTAAAAGCCGGTGGAGCTGGGATCCCAAGCCAGGCAGCCTGGTTCTTGACACACACCTAAATTCTGTTTGGCTGAGTGGCGTTTCCTCCAGCTTGCAAGTCTAGAATGCGTTCATTTTGCATGACTAGAGGTTCTCCACCGGGCGTTTTTAGTTGTCATGGGATCTGGGAAGAGCTACGGGAATTTATTGTCGGAGCTAAGGATGCTAAACGTCCCTCGACGTGAAGAATAATTTCACCCCAAATGCCAAGTACGCCCCGGTGGTGAAACGCTGACTAGTAGATAGGTCACGGCAAACAGACTGACTCTTCTGGAGACTCGCGTTACCAGCTTCCGGAAGGGCAAGGTAACCCCGTCCTAGAGGAGCCTGCCTCTGACTGGCTCCCGCTAGCAGCCCCCGGTCCTCAGACCCTTCTAGACCCACCTACCTGAGGCACCTTCTAGCGTGAAACCTCAAACAAACAAAAAGTAAGGAACACTCGATCTGGACGACCACCGCCAACTCCGAAGCAGGAATCCTCACAACCCGAGCCTCCACGAAATTCAAACTTGCTGCACCAAGCCTCTGATTGGAGGGACTTTAACCAACACTTCCGGGGAAGATCCCGCCCCTTCCACTCGATGAGGCTTGCGATTGGTTTGCTCCGTGCGACCTTTGAATTGATTGAAAGGTGAAGGGACGGTTCAAAAGATGGGTGCGGGAAGGAAAATAGGCGGGACGACGACGCGGGATTAGAAGGGGTGGAGCAGTCGGGGCGCTCTTGTCCGGTGAAGTGCAGGAGTGGGCGGCGGAGCCCAAGAGGTGATGCTGGGTCCCTCGCAGAACTGGGCTGCGGGAATCTCCCCCAAAGCTCGCAGTGCTTTTTCTTTCTTTTTCTTTTTTTGAGACAAGGTCTCACTCTGTCGCCCAGGCTGGAATACAGTGGGCCGCTGCTCACTGCAGCCTGGACCTCCCGGGTTCAAACCATCCTCCCACCTCAGGCTCCCGGGTAGCTGGGACTCTAGGCGCGCCCCACCACGCCGGGCTAACTTTTAAAAACTTTTGTAGAGACAGGGCTCCACTACGTTGCTCACGCTGGGTTCAGGGCTTTTTAATATTCTTGTTTAGTCACAGAATCCAGCAGACCTTCCTGGAATGTTTTCTTTACTAGACATTTTAAACAAAAGGCTTTCCCCGGTTATCTCCTTACATCATTTAGTGTTACTTTTCAACGTCACAAGCCCCCCTCCCCTTTTTTTTCTTTTCTAGTCCATTTTTTGTTGAGGTGAAGTTTTTGTACAGTGAAAATAATAGTATTTTCCCCCCAGTGGACAATTTGATGAGTTTTGGTAAATGTCAACTCCTGTGTAACTACCACCCAATCAGGACGTAGAGCATTTCCATCGCTCAGAAGGGTGGCCTGTGTCTTTCCAATTCTTCTCCCACCGCATCAGCAACCACTCCTCTGATCTCTAATGCCCTAAAAATGAAAGTGATGGGTACTTTTTTGGGTCTGCATGAACCAGAAGTTAGTAGTTTTTGTTATTGAGAGGCATTCCATTGAAGACTTTATGCATTCACCAGTGGACAGCTTTGTATTGCTTTCAATTTTTAGCTATTATGAGCAAAGTTGCTGAAAACATTCTTACACAAGTCCTTGTAGGCATATTTTATTTCTCTTGAGGAAATACGGGAGTGGAATTTCTGGGTCATTCTGGGTATGTTTAACTTAAAAAAATTTTTTTTAGAAGCAGGGTCACTCTGTCCCCTAGGCTAGAGTGCAATGGTACAATCATAGCTCACTGCAGCCTTGGCCTCTTGAATACCTGGGACTATAGGCGAGGGCCATCACCCTTGGCTATGGGTGTGTTTAACTTTATAAGGAATCACCAAGCAGTTTTCCAAAGTGGTTGTACCATTTTACTATTCCCACTAGCCATGTATAAGAGTTCCACTTGTTTGACATGCTTTCCAGCATGTTCAGTTGTCAGTCTTTAATGGTCACCTTTCTGGCTGGGCACAGTGGCTCATGCCTGTAATCCCAGCACTTTGGGAGGCCGAGGTGGGCAGATCACGAGGTCAGGAGTTTGACACCAGCCTGGCCAATATAGTGAAACCGTGTCTCTACTAAAATACAAAAGTTAGTTAGGCATGATGGTGCACACCTGTAGTCCCAGCTACTCAGAAGGATGAGGCAAGAGAATCACTTGAACCCGGGAGGCCGAGGTTGCCGTGAGCTGAGATCCCGCCGCTGCGATCCGGCCTGGATGACAGCATAAGACTTCCTCTCAAAAAATTAACAACAACAAAAAAAATCACATCACGGAAAATTGAGTATCCATACCCTCAAGCATTTATCCTTTCTGTTACAAACAATCCAATTCTACGTGTACTTTTAGTTATTTTAAAATGTGCAATTTATTATTGACTATAGTCCACCTGTTACGTTATCAAACTAGTCTTAGTCATTCTTTCTAATTTTTTTCTTACCCATTAGCCATTCCCACTGTTATGGTTTGGCTGTGTCCACACCCAAATCTCATCTTGAATTAATAGCTCCTATACTCCCCACATGTTGTGGGAGGGACCTGGTGGGAGTTAAATGAATCAGAGGGGCAGTAACCCTCATGCTGCTGTTCTCCTGATAGTGAGTTTTCAAGATATCTAATGGTTTTATAAGGGGCTTTTCCCTATTTTGCTCGGCACTTTTCCTTGCTGCTGCCATGTGAAGGATATGTTTGTTTCCCCCTCTGCCATGATTGCAAGTTTCATGAGGTCACCAGCCTTGCTGAACTGTGAGTGAATTAAGCCTCTTTTCTTTATAAATTACCTAGTCTCAGCCGGGCACGGTGGCTCACTCCTGTAATCCCAGCACTTTGAGAGGCCAAGGTGGGTGGATCATGGGGTCAGGATTTCAAGACTAGACTGGCCAATGGTGAAATCTCATCTCTACAAAAAATACAAAAATTAGCTGGGCATGGTGGCTCATGTCTGTAATCCCAGCTACTTGGGAGGCTGAAGTAGGAGAATTGCTTGAACCAGACCTGGGAGGCGGAGGTTGCAGTGAGCCAAGATCGTGCCACTGCACTCCAGCCTGGGCTACAGAGTGAGACTCCATCTCCAAAAAATAAAAATAAAATAAAAAATAAAAAAATAGGCCAGGCACAGTGGCTTAAGCCCGTAATCCCAGCACTTTGGGGGGCCGAGGCGGGTGGATAACGAGGTCAAGAGATCGAGACCATCCTGGGCAACATGACAAAACCCCGTCTCTACTAAAAATAAAAAAATTAGCTGGGCGTGGTGGCGTGCGCCTGTAGTCCCAGCTACTTGGGAGGCTGTGGCGGAAGAATTGCTTGAACCCAGGAGGCGGAGGTTACAGTGAGCCGAGATTGTGGCACTGCACTCCAGCCTGGCGCCTAGTGACAGAGTGAGACTCTGTCTCAAAATAAATTTAAAAATTAATTAATTAAAAATAAATAAATAAATAGATAGATAGATAAATTACCCAGTCTCGAGTATGCCTTTATTAGCAGTGTGAGAACAGACTAATGCACCCCACGCCCTTCACATTCCCCACCCCTCACTACCGTTCCTATCCTCTGATAACCATCCTTATATTCACTATCTCCATGGGTTCAGTTGTTTTAATTTTTAGATCCCAAAAATAAGTGAGAACGTGATGTTTGTCTTTCTGTGCCTGGCTTATTTCACTTCATGACTTCCAGTAGTAGAGACGGGGTTTTGCCGTGTTGGCCAGGCTGCTCTTGAACTCCTGACCTCAGGTAATCCACCTGTGTTGGCCTCCCAAAGTGTTGGATTACAGGGGTGAGCCACCACACCTGGCCTTGTGTGTCTTCTTTTGAGAAATGTCCATTCAAACCTTTTGCCCATTTTTAATTGTATTATTAGATTTTTTCCCCTATAGAGTTGTTTGAGCTCCTTACATAGTCTGGTTATTAATCCCTTGTCAGAGGGGTAGTCTTTTTGGTTTTTTTTTTGACAGAGTCTCACTCTGTCACCAGGCTGGAGTGCAGTGGTGAGATCTCAGTTCACTGCAACCTCCGCCTCCCGGGTTCAAGCGTTTCCTGCCTCAGCCTCTTGAGTAGCTGGGACTACAGGCACCACCATGCCCAGCTAATTTTTTAGTATTGTTAGTAGAAATGGAGTTACACCATGGCCAGGATGGTCTCAATCTCTTGACCTCATGATCTGCTCTCTTCGGCCTCCCAAAGTGCTGGGATTACAGGTGTGAGCCACTGCCTCCAGCCCAGACGTGTAGTTTTAAAATACTTTTTCCTATTCTATGGGTTGTCTTTTTACTTTGTTGATTGTATCCTTTGTTGTGCAGAAGCTTTTTAACTTCATGTGATCCTTTTGTCCATTTTTGCTTTGGTAGTCTGTGCTTGTGGAGTATTACTGAAGAAATTTTTGCCCAGGCCAATGTCCTGCAGTGTTTCCTCAGTGTTTTATTTTAATAGTTTCATAGTTTGAGGTCTTAGATTTAAGTCTTTAATCCACTTTAATTTGAGTTTTGTATAAGGCGAGAGATAGAGGCCGGGGGTTAAGTTTCATTCTTCTGCATATGGATATCCAGTTTTCCCAGCACCTTTTATTGAAGAGACTGTCTTCTCCAACGTATGTTCTTGGCACCTTTGTTAAAAATGAGTTCACTGTAGCTGTGTAGATTTGCTTCTGGGTTCTCTATGCTGTTCCATTGGTCTATGTGTCTGTTTTTATGCCAGCACCAGGCTGTTTTGGTTGCTGTAGTTCTGTAGCATAATTTAAAGTTGGGTAATGGGATTCCTCCATTTTTGTGCTTTTTGCTCAGGATATCTTTGGCTCTTCTGGGTCTTTTGTGATTCCATATAAATTTTCGGACCTTTTTTCAATTCCTGTGAAGAATGCCATTGGTATTTTGATAGAATTGCATTCAATCTGAAGATTGCTTTTGAATATTTTAACAATATTGATTCTTCTAATCCATGAACATAGAATACCTTTCTATTTTTTTTTGGTGTCCTCAATTTCTTTCATCAGTGTTTTATAGTTTTTATGTACAGATCTTTCACTTCTTTGGATGTTAATTCCTAGGTAATTCATTTTATTTTGTGGCTATTGAAAATGGGATTACTGCCGAGTGCGGTGGCTCATGCCTGTAATCCCAGCACTTTGGGAGGCTGAGGTGGGTAGATCACAAGGTCAAGAGATCGAGACCATCCTGGTCAACATGGTGAAACCCCGTCTCTACCAAAAATACAAAAAATTAGCTGAGCATGGTGGTGCGTGCCTGTAATCCCAGTTACTCAGGAGGCTGAGGCAGGAGAATTGCCTGAACCCAGTAGGCGGAGGTTGCGGTTAGCCGAGATCGCACCGTTGCACTCCAGCCTGGGTAACAAGAGCAAAACTCCGTCTCAAAAAAAAAGAAAAAAAAAAGAAAAAAAGAAAAAAGAAAATGGCTTTACTTTTTTTGTTTCTTTTTCAGACTGTTCACTGTT